TTATTTTTATGATTTTTATTATTTACAACAAGAAAAGCATTTTGAAATGATGTGCCTTTAAATGCTAATTTTTGTGTCGATTCTCATTAATTTTTGCGTAGCCAAGCGAGGTTAGGATTCAGGATGGTAAAGTTAAAATGAGAAGGACATGTAAGAAGAATTAGAGACCTGTCACTTGACAAGCGACCTCTCGCCCTCTCACCAGTTAGGACAAAACTATAACCATTATAATTATTGTGGGGAGGATGGATGTACTCTCATGGACCGTTCCTCATCAATACTCTTTCTTAAAATGCCCTCTTCAATAATTATGACAAGAAATCGCCTCCCCTGCATGGGTCTTATAGTCCCTGCAAAGAATTATGATATCAATCATAGATGGGCAAGATAAGGAGGGGCGTGGCAAGGGGTCTGTTCCTCGACGAGTGACAAACCCCAACACCCCAACCCCTCCACTAACCACCCCCCTCGCCCTCTCTCTGTCTCTCTCTGTCTCTCTCTGTCTCTCTCTCTCTCTCTGTCTCTCTTTCTTTCTGGCGAGAAATGGGCGTAAACACCCATCTATATTCAGCTACTGCTCTGAAGATGCAAATGTCACGTCGTACCAAATTATTCAAGCTTCAACAAATCGAATTAATTAAATTTCTAATGAAATGAGTTATTCAATATGAGCGAATATCCGCCACGGATATGCAATAAACTGTGTTAATGTCATGACATGATTTTATGCGTGATTATCAGTGATTAACCATGCAGGGTAAGATATTCCGAACGGCGTTCATTTTGAGCGTTAGTTCATCGTTAATCAAAGGTTTCGTAGTTGAACTTTTGAAATAAGAAATCTTTGAAAGAGTGACTTTCTAATGAATGCATATATACTCCAATTAATTTAATAATAATTATAGTAGTCAACATTTTCTACTGGACGAAACGGAGGTGGCAAGATTTCTTTACACCATATTTTCCTAAAGAAAGTTAAACTGGTTTAATGTTTGACGGAACAAATTATTTCAAATGCTATTATTAATATTATGGCGATGCTTCCTTAGAATCCAGGGAAAATAATCTTTCACAGTTTTTCAAATACCCACCCTTTCTGCCAATCCCAAATCCACCCATGTAAGCGATATTATGTCAGGTCATAGCAAGGCCAATGTTCAGTCTCAGTCTAAAATGATCAAACAGTCTCCTATTTTAGGTAGGCTACATTTACAATGTAGACAATGTTTTACATTCACAAGACGGATACTCATATTATTAACTTATGAGTTAATACCATACAGCTGTTAACACTAAACACCAATAGAAACATAACACAACTGAGTTCTGAGTTCAGCTCATACAGCTGTCGACGCTAAACATCAATTATAGAAACATAACACGACTATATACCTTAATCATTACAGGCATTACATTAATGTAACGTTGGTGAATATCAAGACTTGGGCTTTAGCAATAAATTTCTCAAGCTAATTTTGTTAGATATTGTTTGAGCCTGTGTTGATTCTCCCAAAGCGTTATAATAAAATGTGGGTAACCCATTGGAAAAAAATAAATTAACAAGTCAAGTATTAAAGTTGCAAGATTTTTACAATTCTGTGTTGCTGTATTGTTGTTTTCTTTAATCACCCCCTGTTTATTGACAAGGGAAATTGGATGTGAAGCGAATATTTTTGTTTTACCTTGAAATGATATTTTAGTAACTCATGTGAAAACATCTATTGACTAGATTTTAAGTCAATGGCTTTCAGAAAGTTGTCTTTAGATCACTGGGATTACACTCAAACCCCTGCCAACCGCCTAAACCTGGTAAAATGCCAATAAACGTCGATCGCTCAAATTATAATAATTGGTTTGGAGTGGTGGTAAAAATAGCCCTTGTCTGGTAATTGTCGGAACCTTGCCAAACCTATGCAGCTGCATGTACTCAAATTAAACATAATGTTTTTGAGTTATTTTTGTTTATGTATCTTTATTTGTTTGAATTTGTTTTACCTTGTTATTAAAAGCGAAAGTCAAACCGTTGAAATAAGTTCACCAATATATTGATGATTATTGCGAGGATATTTTTACGAGTGCAGGTCAAGAAAAATTAAAAAATATCTCCCTCTCGCCAGTACCCCGACTTAAACAGCATAAATTATCATTCAGGCTTTGACGCTTTCTGCGATACCGCCACGCCTAATCATGAAACATCCTGACAAAGAATCGTTCAGTAGATCGACACATATTTTGCTCCCCCCCCCCCCCCTCAAGAAAAGATAGAAAATAATAAATGACATAAATGTGATCTTACTCCAGTGAGATTAGTTCTAGTCTTCATAAAAAACGTGTCTCTCATCTCTCGTTCGTGTATTATATCTTCTTTCGACCCGGTTCAAATCTCCGAATTATTTTATAAAATAATCCTATTTGCGACAGGAAATCGCAATCAGGTGCAATCCATTATTGAATAAGGGAACAACTAACAGAGCATGAGTCAATAACAATGTTCCATCTGATCTATAAATATCTTTAAGAGCAGAGTAAAAGTGTGACTCTGACATGAGGGAGGGGTTCTCGAGGCACACTCATTTTGAGAGGGTGTCAACTCGTCTTTTCGTAAACTACGATATTTTGTTTTGTATTCGTTTGTATTCTTACAAACTTGACAAAGAATTATAATGTTGCCAATTTCGTTGTTAGCCTGGTTGATATTTACTGTTTGGGATATTCCGAATAATTCATGTAAAATGACAAGTTTGTGCAATATACCCTGAACTGTGTGTTGTTTTCTCTGCCTCTGCCTCTCTCTCTCCTTCTCTCTCTCTCTCTCTCTCTCTCTCTCTCTCTCTCTTTCTCTCTCTCTCTGTGAATACATTCCCCTTTCCAGTCTTCCGATGATCGTTAACAAGGTTGTTGTTGATGTTGTTATTTCTATTATTGTTATTGATGTTAATGTTAACAAGGTTGTTGCTGATGTTGTTATTTCTATTATTGTTATTGATGTTAATGTTAACAAGGTTGTTGTTGATGTTGTTGTTTCTATTATTGTTATTGATGTTAATGTTAACAAGGTTGTTGTTGATGTTGTTATTTCTATTATTGTTATTGATGTTAATGTTAACAAGGTTGTTGTTGATGTTGTTATTTCTATTATTGTTATTGATGTTAATGTTAACAAGGTTGTTGTTGATGTTGTTATTTCTATTATTGTTATTGATGTTAATGTTAACAAGGTTGTTGCTGATGTTGTTATTTCTATTATTGTTATTGATGTTAATGTTAACAAGGTTGTTGTTGATGTTGTTATTTCTATTATTGTTATTGATGTTAATGTTAACAAGGTTGTTGTTGATGTTGTTATTTCTATTATTGTTATTGATGTTAATGTTAACAAGGTTGTTGCTGATGTTGTTATTTCTATTATTGTTATTGATGTTAATGTTAACAAGGTTGTTGTTGATGTTGTTATTTCTATTATTGTTATTGATGTTAATGTTAACAATGTTGTTGCTGATGTTGTTATTTCTATTATTGTTATTGATGTTAATGTTAACAATGTTGTTGCTGATGTTGTTATTTCTATTATTGTTATTGATGTTAATGTTAACGCTGATGTTGTTGTTTTAAGCCCACTGGATTTTCTTAAAATGTATTTTTGGATACCTCTTTTCCCTCAAACAGAAAAAAGATTAAGTATTGTCGTTTACTTACTACCCCTTCAAAATCTTCAAATTTCTCTTCACAATACTGGAGACGGAACAAAAAATCATAAAATGATGCAAAGGAAGGTAACACCTTGTTCGTATTTTGTACATACATTTATTTGACACAAGATAAGATTTCCTGAAAATGACAGAAAAAATAAAACATTTTATAAGATCTAGATTACATAGTGAATAGTTCATGAACAAGGTACATGTTTAATTCATACAATATTTATTCTTATAATTATAGATTAACCATGGCAGCTTTTATACAAAATAAGTCAGATAAATTCAAATATTTATATCAGAGTTGACATATTTACATTGAATGGTTTGAATATGAAAGACATTATTCCTTATACCGGGATACCCCTGAAAGTCATTTTCAGCTGAGCCTAATACATAGGCAATCTAAAGTATTTGGATCATTGATCAAATAATGTTCAGGAGACTCGTCAATTATGCAGCTTATATCGTATTACAGATATTCACATCAACTTATAGCCTCCCAAATTGTCCTATCTTGGTGAAATGAAAATAGAAATATCGTTTGGGAACATTCCCTTTATATCATTACGTCAAGTGATGGAACACTGACTTAAGTATTAGAAGTTTTTAAGGTAAGGATACATTCATTTCTAAATAGCGTCATATCTGTTACAGTTGTAATAATTTTTGTTTATTTTTTAATGACTATTTGATTGAATATTTTAATCGGCATTTCATGGCAAAGCCCAACGTTGTGTTGATGAGGCGTTTATTGAAAACCATCATGTGCCATCAGATGCCTGTGAAAGATTCTTTTCCAACCTATCTCTGTTGCACACAAGGCGTCATTTATTAGCGTAGGCCTGCGTCAGCGAATAGCGCGTCATTTGACGCACCAATGAGAGAGTGGTATGGTATACAACGTGAATGCAGAATGAACAGTGCGAACATTGCTTTCGACTAACTTTCTTGGAGCCTTTCTTAGCAACTTGAGCTGTTGGAGCCATGATGAATTGTAGGCTTAATCAGCGTGGGCAATGACGCAACCGAAAGGACGCCTTGTGTGCTACGCGCACTCAGGTCATTACTTCATAATTTAAACGTGTAACATCAGTTCTGGGGGGGGGGGGTGTTTCACAAAGATCCTAAATAGAACTTAACTCTAAGTTGGACTTAAAAATTATGGAAAGCCGTTAGCATCTTTGAAAATATTTTGTAAAAGTTATTTTGAAAGGCATAAAAATTTGATTCAAATCATTCATATTTTCTATCATCAAGGAGATTTCATGTTCTGGATGTGGAATTTATAAAAAGTCTATAATACTTGAATTTCTACTTTTGAATATATTTCATTTCAAGGCTCCAATGGCTGTCCATAATTTTTAAGTCCAACTTAGTGTTAAGTTCTACTTAGGATCTTTTTGAAACACACCCCTGGAGGAATGGTCTGTTTTATGGCATCGCCATCCAGGGATACCGATTGTTCCCTTGAGCAGCCCCCCTCTGGTTATATTGCATAGGTCCTTTGTATGCGGGGCGGGCTCTTTGCCTCTCCTCTTTAGTAACTTCCCGTAGGAAACTACCGAAAAATCCAGGTTCGGACAGACGCATAGGGCGGGCATCCTGTTGGAAGAGTACCTGAGGAGCGAAGGTTGGAGGAGGGGTCGTTCTTGGTGCGTACGTGGGGGTGCTGGTATTATTGAAACCGAAACCACCTGTAGTATTGAAGTTGGTGGTATTTCCGGTATCAAACCACGTCGTATTATCTTGCATCATGTTTAAGGAATATTCGCAGATGAATGGAAGCGGTTCCTCGCCTAACTCTGAAACCAAGTAATCAGAAACCTCGATACCATATCCGTATTTCAAGGTGGTCTGCTGATCGATGACCTCACTGACGTACATCATAGCTGCACCTTGGTGAGTGACCAAAGGCTCTCCGTAGAAAGGCTCCCATGGAACGTTGAGGGCGGGTTCACCATTCACCCACTCCCAAGCCAATGTGGTTGAATTGAAGAAGAGACCAACCCAAACCTCTGTGGGTTCAAAACCGTAGAAATTATTGTAGAGGAACTCATGCTCGGCTGCATCACTGATGACTACTAGATGCGCACCTGGGTGACACTGACCGCAGAAGAGGTTAGCTTGAGCGAAGGGCATCCCTTCCAGTCGTATCCTAGCCCCTGTAGCTGTGTAGCTCTCTCCAGATGACATTCTGTAACAGAGAAAAGAAAAGACGATTCTTTTGTTAATAACTTGGACGTATGGATCTGCATTTGCCACTATCCACTCAGGTGATGTGTTAGGGAATTGTAGAAATGGGACAGCCAACAAAGCTGTCTCTTCAATCACTAAAAAACATTAAAGTCAATAAATTTTCTAAATATGGCAAAAGTAATCTATCATTGATGAAAAAATCGTTTTGTTTCGCATCATGGTGAACACAGTTGTCTGTTGTACATGGGCCATGAATTAAGCTACAAACTGTACACTTTGTACATTTTCAATGGCAGTTTAATAATTATTAAGTCTACAATGATTATGTATTGAAGTGAAATTTTCTGTGATTTTCAGTATGATTTTTAATTCATTCACCTAATTTTTAGAACTTGTTTTAGGGTTAAATGAAACTCATCAATATGCATTTAATATGCCTACTACTTTTCAGTCTACTTTTATGACTCAGTCGCTAAAAAGTACTTTCCACCCTCGTGACCATTTGACCGGTGTTCCCGAACGTCTTATATTACAGCATTATTATTTCTAAGAAAAGTTACACGTAATTATTCGAAAGAAGAGACTTAAAGACTGAAATGATGCCTCGCTATATATATATATACTGTTTCCTATCCGATATTATGGGTATATAGTTTATCAAATTCGTGGGTAGACACTTAATCAGTAATCTGTTTCTCAGTGTAATTTCGATTCGCGAGCGCTAATTGTTCGACCATGTCATTTCGTCCATTCCACCCTTTTTCTATTTTGTATTGAGAGTCACGTGACTGAACCACTATATCACGACACCTCCACAGAGAGTTGCGATTGAACGCAAGTCGATCAGCCAATTAATCGCTGACTTACAAACTTATATCTCTTCAGTAAAGGGGGTTGCAACTGATATTGCGTTACGATCAATTTTAATAAATACAGAAGGTTTTTAAGGGCACGGATATAAAAAATAAAAATAAAAAAAAAATTAAAAACAGCAGTAACACGCTTTGGACGCTAAATATATTTATTTCTTTTCTAATCAACATTACCCATTTTGAATTCTCGAAAATGCAGTAATACGAAGTCGAACTCCCTTTATAGCTGGGGCCTTATCGTCAAACGTATAAGAAATATAAAATTCGGGAAACTGATTTGTACTCCCCTTCAATTTTCGACGAACTTTAGTTCATGGCCTTTAAAAAGCAGTTGGTACACTTGCCATGAAATTCAATTATACTACATTACCATCGCTCAATGACCGGTTACTCCCTCAACAAAGAATCAAGTTTCTTACTTGTCACTTTTAAGTATCCGCTTTGTTGAATAGCACTGATACAGAATATCTTATTACATTGCGTAGTACATGTACATTGAGTATAAATCATGTTGTAAACGTATTTCTTTTTAATTACTGTCTTCTTCTCCTTCTTCTTTTTCTTTTTTTCTTCTTTTCCTTCTACTTCTTCTTCTTCTTCTTCTCCTTCTCCTTCTCCTTCTCTTTCTTCTTCTTCTTCTTCTTCTTCTTCTTCTTCTTCTTCTTCTTCTTCTTCTTCTTTTTCTTCGTCTTCTTCTTCGTCGTCGTCGTCTTCTTCTTCTTCTTCTTCTTCTTTTTCTTCTTCTTCTTCTTCTTCTTCTTCTTCTTCTTCTTCTTCTTCTTCTTCTTCTTCTTCTTCTTCTTCTTCTTCTTCTTCTTCTCCATGACTATAACACAACTGAAATGTCCTATATACATCAACCATAACGATAATCAAAATATTTTGAATACACTGCAGTTTAAACAACTAGATAGGCCTAAAGAAAAGACCCCCCCCCCCCGCCCAATGTACGGTATATCAAATTTCTAAGAAAATACTTTCCTTTTGGCTTGATTAATCTTAAGTCAATAACCTGATTTTATGAACTGAGCGCCATGCAGTAATTTTCACCAATTAAATTAAATCACACAAAAAATCAGTGAAGAAAAATGCTCTCACTAATCATACCTAATTACTAATTGTAGGTTGCAAAATCCCTATAATTAGACAGACTATAAAACACATGTCCGTTTTCTTTCTGGCAGCCAATTATTCTATTTATACATGTTTGTGTGTATTTAATTTTTTTCATATACTTTTCGCCAAACTGTTGTTTTTGATGTGTGAAATTGCCAAGTAAATTATAAGTATATAAACTGATTAATTAATTAATCAATTAATAAGTACATTAATTTAAGCATGGATAAAGAAATAATCAAATGGATAAATCATTATATGAATTTTCATCATTATCATTGCCAAACATCAGATGTTGCGTCCCGATGATATACTTCGTAATACAGAAACTGTTATAGATTTCCACTTGAAGAAAAATGTGAATAAAGCTGAATATTATTTGGTCTAAAAAGTATAAACCTCGAAGCCCTTCATTTTACATCTATTAGATGGCGTTTTGATACATATATAATGACAATTTAAAGTGGAGATAAGTTATTCGGGGGACTATATGTTTAAGACAGTTCTAAGCAAAACGATACTTCTTCTTTTTAAGAAAACGTCATATTAACATACAAATTGTGATTTATTTATTTTTGATTTTTGATTTTTTTTTTTTTTTCTCGTAATGATTCTTGTTCCTTGATTGTCCATATTTGAGAATGGAGCGCCATAAATTTGAAGAATATCTACTCATCTTAAAAATCAAGATATAAAAAGTTTACAATCTTCTGCGCAAAGGCTACACTCCTTCCAATGGCCCATCCACAAAACCTAACATTGGTGGCGCCTGGTTGGAATGTTCCCCAGGGAGTGGAGAAATGCATACATTGTGTGTGATCAAGCCTGAATCCGATGACCGGGATAATGATATATTTATAAAGCGCTTGTAGAGAAATCGTCGATGCATTAAGCGTTGTATAAATCCAAGATATTGTTATTATCATCAGATGTCCACTTACTGACGTAGTGTCAAAGTGATATATTAAGAATAAGAGATATTTTCGCTTACCTGTAGCAGCTGCCGTTGTTATATGTAAAGTAGGGTGCACATAATGGTTGTGCATGACCATTAACCATAGATGCTAGGGCCAAAAGGCCAAGAGCTATAAGCCACTTCATTTCTCGATCCTAGTCTAAAACACATACAATCAGGTATCAAATCCTTGTAGGAGCTAGTCGCTCTGTAAGATAACTCAGTAAGGAAGAGAAGAAAATGATATCCCACTTTCACCAAGTAAACGGTAACTCAAGAATGGTGATTGCAGAGGTGGAGTCGGCAATTTATAGTTTCTCGCGTGGGGAACCCCCCTCCCGAACGGATACAGTTACCCCCTTCAGCTAGCCGCGTGCCTGCAGATAACGGGTTGATGTCAATGGGGTTCAGTAGAGCTTCCGGTCGTGCGCACCGCCACAGCGCTATACGTGTGAAGGCCTCAGCGGCGTCTAGAAGAAACGGATGTGACGTCACAATTGGGAATAGGTGACAACCTCGGTCATGTTCGAGATATACGTCCTTGGAAATTATTCATAATTGTTTTCCTTCCTAAGAGAGTAGATTGTTTGTAGAACGATTAATTTCCTTTTAAAGTAAACAGAAAAAATACAGAAGTGTTATACAAGGGACTATTGGTGCTAAGTTCATTGTTATACTTAGGTTTACCTGTTAATTTTTGTTTATTCAAACAAATTTTAACAAAATCATTGTATTATTGATCCCTTTCTTAAGTGGGGAAATACGTAAAAGTAAAGACAAAAAAATCGTGGGGAAGTGAACTTTCATATTATACCCCTTTCCTCACTGTGGGGAAGTGAACTTTTATATTATACCCCTTTCCTTACTGTGGGGTACACCCCCCCCCCCCCCGTCCCCTGAATTTCTGTCTATAGGTTATTCTGTATTTTTGTAAACTTGTTCACAATAAAATGGTTTTATATTGTTGGTGTAACCATTCAATACCCTCCCCTTTCTGAAGAACCAGTAAAGTTCATTAACATAAATTATGCGCTCTCCCTTCTGGGTCGTGCGGGGGAACACAAGTCATACATTGTACCGGACAGAAGGAAATTAATCTTGACTGGCGACTTAAGCTTAACAAAAATGTGTAAGACACGAATATAGAGAGAAATAGAGAGGGGAGAAAGAGAGAGAGAGAGAGAGAGAGAGAGAGAGATAGGGAAGGGGAGAAAATGGAGAGGGGGTAGGGAGAGATTGAGATTTATAAATAATTTTAAAAAGGAGAGAAAATTGGAGAGGTTCTTAAAGGGAAGAGAGGATGAGCGAGAAAGAGAAAAGCCAAGAAAGAGATTTGTTTTTTAAGTGATTTAAGCGTAAAGAAGCATATTGAGATAATGGGAGTCAGAGAGGGAGGTGGAGAGAGAGACAGAGAGAGAGAAAAAAAGGGAGAAAGGGAGAGAGAGAGAGAGAGAGAGAGAGAGGAGATAGACACAGAGAGAGTGAGAGAGAGAGAGGAAGAGAGACAGAGAGTGAGACAGAGAGAGAGAAAGAGAGAGAGAGAGAGAGGGGGGGAGATAGAAACAGAAAGTCAACCTAGAAAACTCTCACGGTCATGATGAGTGCTTGGTGGATCATGTGGATTGCTGTTTGTAGTACTCAGATCGTCGCCGGTAGCAGCTGACTGCAGCTTAACTAATTACTATATAAATTAAAAGCTTTATTTATAGAGGGGCTATAAGGAGGCGCGGGGAGGAATTAGCTGATGTCTGAGTAAGGAGTTTTATTTATCTTATCATTTATTAAAGTTGATTTTGATGAAGCATGATTTGATGATAACGGAACGTGTTAGGTCACTTATACAGTGCGACCCAGTAAAAACGAACCCGAGAATTATCGATGTCAATTATAATTAATAAATGACACATATTTGTAAAGCTTATATCCTCCTCTTTCATTTGATGCAACTCATACGATGCATATTTCACGCATAAGTGATTAAAAGCAATTTGAAGGAAGGAAAACAAAAATTCATTTGGCGGGCGGTATCTGAATTTCGAAGAAAAGTTCACATTTCTAGAAAGTTCATTTTTTGCTCTTTCATCATGACAACTCAATCAGGAAAAATGAGCCAGGAATAACAAAGTTCTGTTTGTTTAAAGTGATGCTTGCATTTCCATTTGATTAAACGAATTCGTTTTCAGTGGCTGCCTGCCGTAGCAAAAAACGGAATTGACAAAAGACTTAACTCCGTTTCGTTGACGATCAGACATAGACGAAAGACTTCATGCATGTCTGATTGTCAACTTCAAAAGGAAGCCTCAGACTTCATATGACTTCTAAAAAGAAGATTTCAACTCCTCTGCTTTAAGAGCTTAGAAAGGGTGTGTGCACTTTGTTCTTCAATCTATAAATAACACCCTCTGTTGATTAATATATCCATGGTCCATGATATGTCTCAAGTCACTCTAGAAACGAAACCACTTCCGTTCGTAATATCTCAAGTCATTCTTATTCACACTAACCATTATAAGGTCAATGAAGAGATCCCAAGTCACGCTATAGCTACCTCACTCACACCGCCAGTCTGACTACAGACCGACTCTATATGCTTATCGAACTATTGCTTTTGGAGTTAACTTTTTGTTGTAATGAAATGTCTCAAAACTATATTCGTACTTTTTGTTCTTCCAAAACAGTATACAGAAGAACAGTATTCAAAATATACATTTTTGTTAATAAATCAAACAATGCTGTAAATAAAATGATAAATAATCTTCAAATAAAACATATTACTACCTCTGAGATAGAGAATTATCAATAAACCAACCATCAAACAAACGATAAAACAAAACAAACCAAAACAGCACCGATTTATTAAAAAAAGTAATTATAAGTTGCTTTCGTTGGTGTGACTGGTGTTCTCTTACTATCTATCAGGTATCACACCTGTCTCTCTTACGCAACACTATTCTATTTCTATAGAACAGCAAACTGGTTTCATCACAGACATGAAATAGTTTTGAAAGAAATGTCACGTGTTGGTTGTCAAAGGGATGATGACGTCGTCTTACAAGTCATTGTTATAGGCATACCTGAAGGTCTTTAGTTCAAGGTCAAATCTAAGGCCAACAAAGGTACCAATAAGTGAACCCACTGCGTACTAAAACAAGCGGTTCCTATATTAAACTATGGGGTAAATTCATTATATTTCAATAGTCATTGGGTTAAATGGGTCATTCATATTATGATGATTGCACTGTTAGACACATAGCCCGCCAGCAATTGCCCCTCGGTCTTTTCTCATTTTTTCATCTCCACGAGGTTGAGTGAAGGGCGCCCCCCCCCCACAACCCTTTTAGTGAGGTAGAAAAAAAGACGGAGAGGGACAAAGGTAATGGAAAAAGACCAAGAGACAAAGACAAGGAGATTAAGAAACACTATATTAAACGGAAAAGAGAGAGGGAAGATATAAAGATGGATAAGAACATGACGGTGTCGCCCCAGACTCTACCGGCTCGGTCGCTGTGCTCTCTTGTATCCAGTGAGTCTATTCAGTAAAACCCTCCCCCTCCCTGGCCCAAAAGTAAATCACTAGATCATCCACAGTACGTCATTCTAGTCAGAATGATTCACATTCATTGTTCCTATTGTCATTAGAGAGTAGCCTTGACACTCTAATATTGCTACTGTCAATCAATACAAGAACGACGAGGCGGGATTATTGTTTAAACAACATCTCAATTTTTGTCATGGAAAAGTGGATACGTCACTGGATACATCACTTGTTGCCAATTCTTAAGTTTCACGTGATAAAGGTGTTACGTACCTTTTAACTTTATTTTTTGTAGTTTTTAAACTTCTTAGGTGTTTTCAGTAGGTTTGTAAGTAATATAGGTTTGAGTTCTATTGAAATAAAAACAATTTGCATTTTTGCCCACAAATAGTCGCGTAAAGTGTATTACGTGAGTGAAGTTGTTGTCAATATAATGATTTTTATCAAAATAAAATATTTTATGCGTATGGTGTAGTACGAGTTGTTTAGATCTCTGACCTAATTCGTCCTTGTTTTCACGAAGTGACGGTAGTGAGGAAAATCGTAACGCAAAGTGAATGCAATTTTTTTTCACTACCGTCACTTCGTGAAAACAGCGACGAATTTTTGCAGAACGGCTGTGGAAGTTCTTTAAAAAACTGTATGCTTTCTTGGACCCAAACAAGTAATAAATCTCATCATTATATTTTTAGGATTGTAGCTTTTTTAAATTTCCCTAATGTCCTTCGGCAAGAAATTCGTCTATATTTTCCACTCTTCACCCAGGTAAGGTAAATGGGTGCTCGGTAGGAAGAAATTAATTGAATGCTTTAGGGCCTTATAAAGTATACCATGCCGGCTCAGCTAAAGCTAGTGTAATAATTTGTCTAAAGAGCAATAAAATGTTGTAACTGAGCTTTTTAAATGGACATAATTATTCACTAGTACCCAGCAAAAAGCATATGAGATTCATAACATGATTAATTGAATTCATGTTACATTTCTTGAAGACAAGTTTGAGAATGATCATTGTATGATTAGAAATAGTATAGATTTCCAACTATAAAGCTAGATATGAATTTGATTATGACAACATGTAATAATTATCTTGATTATTGCCTTGGTAATACCAATATTCAAATATTCACCACTTATATTATGCCTCAAATCTTACGTACATGAATTTCGGCAAAATACACTGAGTTGATTGGAGGATTTTTTTTCTTAATACACTGATGTGAATCATCATAATGAGATGATCAACTATCTCAGAAATGTTTGTTGCAAGTACTTATGACCCTTTCGTCGTATGTTTTGATAACAGTTTTAATGGAATTGAGGGTTCGATTTTGGATCAATCAAGACGGATTCAATGTTAAAATAGAAGACCTATGTTAATAAAGCAAGCACGAATATACAACTTCACAAATTCAAGTCGAAGCCTTTTTTTGTCGACGGCCTAAACTACAGTCGAAATCATCATCATCACCATCATCATTTTTCGTCATCGTCAGTGGTCATCGTCATTATCATCATCATCGTTATCGTCAACATCATCATCATTGCATTCACGTTAACCATCACTCCCTTGATGTTAAAGCTCATCTAACCACCACTTTAAAGAAAGGGGGGAAAGGGAAAACTATATATGCTTCATGGTTACACCGTGTAATTCTTTCGAAGAGTTTTGAAAACTGCTAATAGCTCTTTAGTCCTTGACGTTTCGATCAGTATGCTCTGATAATCTTCAGCAGAACCTGCTTCGCTCAAGGCGACTCCCCTTTCGCAATCCTACCAGATCCCCATTTATCTCCCGGGTACGGACTGGCAAATTTAGAATAAATACCTTTCTAAATGATACGAAACCAGCTAGTTAATACTTGAGGAAACCAACCCAAGGCAATTTCTTTGGCCTTGTCCATCATCTAATGTAATGAGATAACAGAAGTCTACACTGTCAATTAGTATTACATAATCCGAGCATGTTTTTTCTATATTGATACATATATAGGGTATTTAAATTCAAGTTAACCATGCCGTGTCGGGGTACAAACCCATGATTCCCTCTTACAGGAAGTCAAAGCTGACATGACAGTGATCAAGAGAAAGACAAGACCATGAACACCTTTTGTCAAGCGTGGACCTCAAATCATCCATATCCTGCTCTTAATCACTTTGTCTTTTTATATCTAATCCATACAGGAGGATCTAAGGTCCCGTGATCAAGGACTGTCCAGGTGTGTCAGGTTTAATGACAAGATTTTTGATCGATGTCAAATGTTGTGTTTCAACATCAAGGGCGGGTCAAACGATAAGACAGAGGTGGGTTCATAAGATCTAGTCAGCCAGGTGCGTTTAGACGGAAGTCACATGTCCCAAAGAAAGAAGAGAGGGTGAGAGCTGATAAGACTCTTAATTATCTGCTGCTTCTTTTATGTTGAATACGGAATGTGTTTCCTCCATAAATCATGTTTCAAATATCAAAATAAATATGTTTAGTTTAATTCAATTCAAAGGAACACTTTGTTTGTTCACGACGAGAAGGGCGTTCATTCTATGTTAAATTGAATGATCGGACCCCCATCTGGCTTCAAACAGATGATTTATATTCTTTAATTATTTTTTTTCCATATCACCAAAATAATAGAATAATAAATTTGCACATATATGATAATATAATAACATAAGCAATATCTAGAGCATATCAAATAGTATTAACGAAAGGTAGAAGGCGTTAAAGCGTAGGCATGTTTGGGATTCGCCTTTAATACTGATTTTATCATGTATTCAGAACTGAATAAAGAATTGAAGTGAAATGAAATAAAATTGAAATAGATTAAATTAAATTAAACGACAATACACGATAAATAGAAGGAAGAAAAAAAAGCAGACAAAGAAAAGAAAAAGAAACTCATCTTTTATACCAATCCATGATGTAGACATGATAGAATGAAACTACTATTAAAATAAAATCACTTAATTAAGATCCTTAAAATAATGTTACTAACAAAGTCACTAAGATAAGGTCACTTCGATACCATGACAGAATGTTTATAGAAAGAAGAGTACAACGTTCAGTTGCTTCTAATTGTCTCTGATTATTATGCCACACGGAATTCACGGGGAGGGGGGGGGGGGTACTCCTTAGTTCGATTCATGTTTTTTATTTACTACAAATCATTAAAATCTATAATTGACTATTTTATTTGTTATTCAGGATACAACAATTACTGAAATTGATTCTGCTCCAAAAACCAGAAACACTGGTTCCTAATAATATTCATGATAATCTCTTTTGTGTATGAACTTGGGAATAAGAGAGCGCTAAAAGTTAATTTTATATTTGGAAATCTGTCAAATAATAACAGTATATTGAGGCCCGAAGATGCGAATTTGTAATTGATCAGAAAATAGAACATAAGAAAAAGTAATTCTGGAGAAAAGAGAAAGTTTGGCACACGGTAGAGCAATCTAACGTTTACGTCATATCTTGTTTTTTCCGACTATCACACAAAAGTATAGCATCCTGTCATTTAATTTCAGTAAAAGTATTTTTATTTGTTTAAAGATGTTAATATCATGGAACATTTTACTTTTAGTAAACATCAATAGATGCACGATGGGATTTTATTTCTTTCTACATGCTTGCATTTTTGTGATATTTTATTTCTCCTTTTCCATTTTGCTCCCTCATCTCTCTCTCTCTCTCTCTCTCTCTCTCTCTCTCTCTCTCCTCTCTCTCTCTCCCTCTGCCTCTCTTCCCCCTCTCTCTCCCCCTCTCTCTCTCTCCCTCCCTTTCTCTCTCATCCTCTCTCTATCTCTCTCTCTTCCTCTGCCTCTCTTCCCCCTCTCTCTCCTCTCTCTCTCTCTCTCTCTCTCTCTCTCTCTCTCTCTCCCTACCTCTCTTCCCCCCTCTCTCTCTCTCTCTCTCTCCCTCCCTCCCTCTCTCTCTCATCCTCTCTCTCTCTCTCTCTCTCTCTCTCACTTCCTCTTTCACTCACCCACAATCCTCAAATATTTCTTAAACTCTCATTGTCGACCTCTCCTTGCCCTTCAACCAATGTCGCCTTGTGTTTTATTGGGGGTATTCCCGCTAAAAACTTTCTTAAAATAGTCTGACCCCGGACGTCGGGCCCCACCATACTAGTCATGGGTACGAGTGCCTGCTAGCCAGCCCGGCTGCTCTCCGGTATAAATGTGTCATGTCACCCCTCATTATGAGTCAAGCTCTCGCGACTCAACCTCATCTGAATGGAAGGATGATTTAAAGGGTTAATTAATGAAATCAAAATGAGAGGAGAGAGACAAAACTCCAGCTGCTCCATAATGGTTATAGCTTGTAAAATACTTCGATGATATTGAAGGTATATGCTATATGGACGCACAGGGGCGGTGATTTCTTTTCATGACTTGGTGGGCGGGGGGCGAAATGCGAGGGACGAAGGAGCATGATGAACGAGAGGGGCGAAGGTGACGGAAGTGACTACCCCCTCACAGGTTTTTTAAGTTTTGTTTAAAGATTTTCTACAATATTTACTTGTACATTTAGAAGGATATTATACGAGGGAGCGTAGCGACCGAGTGAGAAGATTTTTGCATTTGTATTAGTCTAAACGCTGCACTCTTAATTAGGCCCTCCAGAGCCTAAGAATATGTTGCAGTCTTTAGTCAGTATTTGCTATACATTTTTTTGCACTTTTTCAAAATTTTCAGAGGGGACGAGCCCCCCCCCCCCACCCCTCCCTAAAAGAAATTGAGGGGGACGTGTCCTCCCTGCCCCCCCCCCCTCCCCTGTCAGGACGCACAAAGTAGGAAAGGTGATCCTCTCCCGGACCCATCTTCCCCTAACCACATAACCCACCCCCACGTTCATGACGTATTCTGCTCAAGCCAAAGCCACAGTGCCAGAATGAGAAATAAAAATAATAATACATTTTGATTTATTTAGCGCATTGTTTGATTCTCTATGCGCTTCAAATAAAAAAAAAAAGTATGCTTTTACAATCTACATCAACAGAAGTATGATATTGAAATAGGCCTCTAGTCTAAGTTAGGAATATACAAGTAAAAGGAAAGTTTTTTGTTGTATTACATATTTTTAAGTTTATACTCGTGACAACATAAACAAAAGATTTACTGTTCCAACCAATTAAGGTCCTGTTTATAGTAGCATCGGCAGGATATACAAGACAAAATTAGTCATGTTCGCCAGTGCCAGGTAATATAATCTCCTAGGTAGGGTTTTATCAGGCATTACCATCATGCTAGCTATAGGTCATTTGCAATAGAACATTCATGACAAATCTCGTAGCTTAGCACCAGGCAACCATGGTTATAACTTCGTGTTCAATGAAATCAAATACCTAATCGTTAAAGCCCCGCTGCACTACTTATAGCTATACTTGCGCCCTCTTCATAGAAAATAATGCCTAAGCCAAAATAGTGGAGGGATCAACTAAGAAGAAGAAGAAGTATACACAGAAAATGTAGAAGGTGGTCAGATACGATTATATTTCGGTATAACACACATTTGCGCAGAACAAAATCCATATAACTGTATGGGCATATTGTTCAAAGAGTCAATAGCCTTGAGAAAAATTGAAGGAAAAAAATAATGATCCCACTGCTCGCCCTGGACTCAGATTACAAATCGAGTATTTAGACTGGAACTGTATCGAGAGTCAACTTATAATGGCGCCATCTCTAGATGATGAAATACTATGGCGGTTGAAATTTCAAACAAATTCTCTACGAATTAAAGAAAAAAAGCCGAGTTCAGTGATCCATAGTCATGACCCGAAACAGTTTTGAAAACCGTTGCTAGTTGACAAGAAAGCTTAGCAAGATAGACGATCATGCCAGGTCCATGTGCTATATGTCATATGGGTGGTATAAACTTTAGTCAGTCCACCGGTATTGTCAACCGCGGATAACTGATAATGAATAATAATAGTGGCTTCTTATTTTTTTAAAGCGCTTAGGTTTGTCAAGCATGACGCTCATGGCGCTAATACATAAACAGAAGAAAATACAATAATATAATTAGACAATTTTTAACTAACTTTAGCCAGGGGACCCTAAAACTTACAAGCTCTGCTTTTACCAGGGTCTCCTCTTCTTTCTTTTAGTTAACTTTGTTTTTATCGTTTTTGCCATAATTTGTTTTTTTTTTATTGTAAATGTGTAACGATCTAATGTTATGCTCTATATCATTTGAAAGAAAGACGAATACATATCTTATTTCCAACAGGAATGCATGTTACAGACAAAATTAATGTAACTAAAACAGTTTTCAAACCAGGATCATAATAAACATGGGACCGGACAATTTTTTATAGCAAAAACCATTAATAGTCAGTATTAAATTTGCCCCTCCCTTCGTTCTCCCTCTCTCTCTCTCTCTCTCTCTCTCTCTCTCTCTCTCTCTCTCTCTCTCTCTCTCTCTCTCTCTCTCTCTCTCTCTCTCTCTCTCTCTCTCTCTCTCTCTCTCTCTCTCTCTTTCTCTCTCTCTCCCTTTCTCCCTTTCTCTCTCTCCCTCCCTCCTTCTCTTTCTGAGAATTACTTTTTGCCCTTTCTCGGAATCTCTGTACAACTCACTGACCTCTACACCACTCTACTCGAGCGCCCGTAGAGTACTGTACAAGGCCAAGGCGATTTATTTTTCCTTTTTTGTTTTGTATTGTTGAAGACGCAGTAATATCCTAAAATTCCGAGAAGGAAGTGCTGTCGAACGACTTATTTCCTAGATTTCCTGACTACTTATTGGCGGAGACAGGTAAAAAGTGTAAGTTTAATGAATAAGTGTTAATTCTTCGTAGATTTTGCGATCTTACAACATCTAAACCTTTCCATGAAATGACAAAATTTGTAATTTGAAAACAAATATTATTGTTGTAGTCCGACGTGTTGAAAATTATGCTAGTTTGATTTACCGTATAGTGAGAGCACATTCAAAAATCCGCTACCTTCTTCTTCTTCTTGTTCTTCCTCCGCTTTTTCGGAGATCAGCGATCCCATGGGCCGCAAGCCATATAACTAAACAGGAGCACAAGGTAAACATCAAGGTAATGGACTGATAGCAGTCGATCGCGATAGGTGCATTTTATGGACAAAGAGTAAAGTAATAGCCAGTAAACTTCTATATGTAGTAAGTGGCAGTACAGGATCAAATGGGAGAAGAGTAGCATTGGTGAATAAACACGGATCACGGTCATCATATTGTGACGCACACAATGGGTAATCCTGGAGACATTTATTTACTTTGGAGACAAAGTCATGGCGTATCTGAAGATGAATCGGACAGGATGCTATAAAGTGTTCAACTGTCTCATCAACACCTTTGCACAGGAGGCATTACTATAGTTCGTGTGTGATCAAATAGAAATAAAAAAATACAATAATTTTTCATTTCTTGGTCACAGCACTAGCAGCAAGCACTTGAACCTCTGAGGCAACTAAAAAATCAGTTGCAGTTCGAACACAAACAAAATCCAGATTTTCTGTGTGCACGATATATGGACCAAGTTTGTTGTGGCCAATTTTGTATCCGACGAGCTATTTGCAGAATCTCAATTCTATTTGAATCTCGATCTTGAATGTGTTATTCTATGAATATTCTTGTCGACAGTCATGATTCATTTAACTACCTCAAGCCTCAAGGAACTGAACATCTAATGTCCTTTGGCAAGACATGATATACATTTGCCACAATCCACCCGGCCCAGGTGAAGTAAATGGGTACCTGGGGGCCGTTTCTCGAAACCAACTCCATGACAGTCATATCTTTGTCGGCGACCTACGGAGATGTCATGAAGCGGATAAACCGTTTCACAAAGCCATGACAGACATGATATCGATATATCGCGATACTAGCAGCTCAAGAACATAGTCTTTGTCACGATCCATTAAATCAAGAATAACCCAAAACAAGTTTTGGGGCTAAAATTGTTCAAAAAGAAATATATACATATAAATTCTCTTAAAATAAATAATAAATAGTGTCATTATCATATTTACATCATCAAACGATTTGCATATTTCTGTAAAGATTCTTAAATTGAAGAAACACCGGTGAGTGTTTTTTTTTCGACAGTCGAATCAAAAGTTAGTTGAAGGATACCGTAATGTGATAGTTTATCAATACGTACTTTTTTGTTTATTGTGACGAGGAATTTTAGGCAAAATGTCTTTTCTCAGCCAGTTTTTATTCTAGAGTCTCATAAATACTCGTTATATAATTGATTTGATATTGAAAATATAATTTGGAAGAAGTAAATAGAGAGGAAAAAATAATGCACATAGGCCCCAAAGGTATGACGGTATCCTAAGAAAAGACTATGGGTCGACTATGGAAAACGGTGTGTAACATTCTTACCTCTCTTATTTATATGTTATAGTTTAATGATTTGTGATTTAATGTTTATATTAAGCTTTTTAAAGTTTCTGTATAATTTGTATTCTCATTTTTGTACATTTGCATTTCGCATCCCAGAGAATTACGTACCGAACTCGTCTATATTTTTCTCAAAATGATAGTGAAACTAATCGTCCATTTCGCGGCCCATGGAATGGCAACAAACTGACTTGTGATGGCGCTTTACAGCAATTAAAAAGATATGACAGGTTCGGAGCAGTGACAACTCGCTTGTCGCGGAAGTTGTCGCTCATCTTGGCAAAGACGGCTTCGTGAAACACTTAGCTGACAAGTTGCGTGACAGTGGCGAGATGTCGTTGATCTTGTAGTTATGACGGTTTCGAGAAACGGCCCCCTGGTAGGAATTTATTCCTTGAAACGCAGCGCGCGTAACAGCTGCACTGCTAAAGCCAGGGTAATTATGCTGCATTATTGTAGAGCGCTTAGAGACTTCTGATAAAGTAAGTGTTAGGCGCTATATTAATAAGCAAGTATAATTATTATTATTATTATCTGCTAGGCCTATCTAGATTTTGATAACTCCAGGGAGCTCCGACGCCAAGAGCCCGCTTCTAAAAATGATTCAAACAGCGGGTTGGGTCATATTTTTTTGTGCAATGTAAATATGTTTTTCGACTCCTCTTGGCATCTTTCCAACCAATTGAAATTAAAATTTGAAGAAGTCTTTGACAGGGAAAAGGGGGATTCTTCGTCCTACTTGACAATTCATCCATGTATCGTTGATTCAACATGGCAAGGAGAAATTACATAGGCACGGTAGCAACGGAGCAAATATTAATTTTCATGATATAGAGCACCGTTTGCTCGAAATTGCTGAATAGGTTGAGAAGGGCTCTGTCTCTTCGATCATGGATATTCAGCAATTTCGAGTGAATGGCATCGGTGTTGGAGCTCCTTGGATTTAGATAATTGAGTGACAAAAGGCAGCGTTACAGGGATTTAAAACTATGCACACAAAAAAGCCCCAAACGGTAGTCTCTGACCTACATTTTGTTAGAGATAAAGAACTAAGAAGGGCTATAATATTGTTCAATTTTCCCATGGCAACTTTTAAAAACATCTTTGCTTTTCCTCTGTAGTATGTATGAATTGGTTTTGACATACATGTATACATGTATACTCATTTAAATTTTTGTCATACTATGTTTGGTTTGTTTTGATGGTTTACTTTTACCTGACTGCTAAGGAAGAATGTGTATGCTTGTATAAAGTAAGCAACCGGTGTGGCGTTATTTATGTGCATATTTTCATGATGCTTTTACTTATTCTTGTCTCCATGTATACAGGTATTGAGTGTGGTCCTGGGAGAAGGCATCAGTGACTATTCCCAGGGTTGGCCAAACCATTCTACATCATGGAATCCCATGGCGATGATGACCAGATGAATCCAGATATCTCACCCTTCCATGGCAATCAGGATTCAAGCAGTGCGTATTCAGCTCTACAAATGCTGACGTCAGCGCAGCCCTCCCCAGCAGAAGGTCTGCCTGGCAGGGTGTTACAGTTCATTCCTGTCATCAATGTAACAAGTTCTGAGAGCATAGCCTCCGATGTCATGTCCCAATCTCAGTCGGTGACGGTACAAGCCCCATCGGAGCTTTGTGATGAGACAATCCTCTTAAGGAATTATATTTCACAGTTTCAGAACTTGGCAGCTCTCCAACCCTTCCCCCCAGCCCTGGTGATGGCCCCACAGGATTCATCCATGACTGCGTCAAATGCCTCGCTGATAACATCCTCAGAAACTGCCAATCCTCCTTCAGCCAGCTTGCCAAAGCTGACTACTCTAACACCTTCACAGTTCATGCTAGTATCATCAACAGAGCTCCTCCCCATGACGTCATCTTCCCAGATCACCATGACAACCTCGCATCCTACCATGACATCACCAAGTTCATTGGTCGCTTCCTCGCCAGACTTGCTCACCTTCACGAGTCCGCAACTCACCACCATGATGTCCCAGGCAGCATCCAGCCTACAAACCATCCCCTCTTTGACTGACCTGGTTCCATCTGTAATAGATGGAGTGGTGTCAAACCAAGAGTCAGTGACATCATCCCAGCTTCCTGCTTCTCTGGACCCTCTGGTGCTTCCTGCAACCGATCCTCAGAGCCTCCTAGACGTGGCCACCCAGGTCATCAGGGAAGACGCTCAAGATCTTCCTAATGACGTTGAGGCAGGAGAGACAGACTTCACAACCTGCTGGGGGGATACCCTGGTTGAGGAACCAACCACATCTTCAGCGCTTGATGACGATGGAGAATACCATGATTCTTTCACAGAAGAATGGTCCCGACACTTCAAAGAGAAATTCTCTCCATACTTTGGTAAGTTCTAGACGTCCTACATGTGCAATATAATTGTCCTTTTTTATTTGTCTTTTGTCTACCATGTACCCCTGGTCACTTGGCTATGTGGGATCCTTGAAAGATGGTCCGAGACCCACTGATCCCTATCCATTGTTTTGGACATACCCAAATGTAGACAAACATGTATGAGGGCAAAAGGTACTCAGGTAGTGTTGAAAAACAGACAAAGTAGAGAGTCAATTAAATCAGTAAGAAATTATGAATTCAGTCAAAAGGTTTTTAAACAAGTGAAATTAAATCTTTGTAAAGTTGAGGCTTCTTTCAATGTTTATCTATTGATGATCATTAAAATAAGTTACTGGTATACATATTCTTGGTCCAAATGGTCAAAGCAAAGTATTCCTTTAGGAAAGTTCCTGTAAATAAATTCCCTGCAAAGAAAGTTTATGTGAAGAAGAAACATGTACTTGTATGTGGAGAGGCATGTATGACATGCGACGCAGAATAAATATTTCAATATATCTCTCTGTATTTTCATTTTTATCTTGTTTCTTGGCAGGTTATGTCCATACGCTTGAGGAGGCAGAAGAGTTGCTTCACGTCTATGAAATGTGCACAGAATCCAAGTATGTAGGCATCAAGCGATGCGACAAGACAAACTTTGAGATCGATGCTTCTAAAGGACGACCATTTCGATACACCCCTCTTATCATCTGCGGGCACAAGGTTCCCTTTGATCGTGTGCCGTACTACCACGGGGGTAAGGCCATGTATTACTGCCACCTGGGAAGCAAGAGAAAAGAGCCTCCGAAGGACCGCCCCTTGAAGAATCCTCATAAGCGAATGCAGAGCAAGAAAGTTGGATGTGAGGCCCGTATTGCCTTCCGCGTGGTGGCAAGGTTTCCAGAGCATAAGCTGAAGGACGATACAGAGCACCATAGACTGGTAGCATCACAGAAATTGTCTAGAGTTTGGAAGGAAGGTGGCAGGGACATGGTCGTGGAGTGGAGGGTCTACGTCATGCTACCGAAAGCCAGTGCCCACACGAACCACGAGCTCGTTCGCACGTTACGACTCCGCGACAGACCGCTCGACAGGAGATTGATTGGTCGGATCTGCCAACTTGTGCAGATGGGATTGAGGAACACGCACACCATTATGAAGCATGTGGTACACTTTGCAGAATATGTGCTTTCTAAAGAAGGAATGACTTGGAAGAATCGCAAAGATATCTGTGGTAGTAGGCAGGTGTGGTGGTATCGTAAGCAAATGCTGGATCATATGGACAGTAACACGCTGGAGACGTCCAAATTCCTAGAAATGATAAAGGAGGTCGAGGACATCGCTCAAAGACACAGTTACAATGGCTTCATCCAGGAGCCATCGGGAGGGGAGGATGGCATGGGTACAGGGAAGTGGAAGAAGCGCACAGAACTCAAGAATCGCAAAAGCTATGAAAAGCAGCTGTCGAACCTGAAGGAGGAATGTTTCAACGAGTTGCAGCACTTTGTTAAGAATGTGAGTTCCTGTACACAGGTGGAAGTGCTTGCAAGAACGTTAAACACTTTTAGAACTTTTAGGAAGACATTTGAGAAGGAGTTGATGTGTGAAGAGAATAAAAAAGAAGAACCAAACCATGATCCCACCTTCCCAAATGGGATTATACAGATATTAGATATGGACTCATCGCAGCACCTTAGTCAACTCATGCAGATACAGACTTCTGATATGAAAACCAACATCTTGCAGTGAATACGTACACCAAAGGGATCGTTTAACAGTGTCAAATCTGAGATGCACGGCCCTACGTTTAATCGGTGTCTGTGATTAAGAAGTGCCCCAAGAAAGTAAAAACCTTTGAGTGACCGGTTTTACCATACTTGTTTTCCCCAATAGACCGTAGTGTTATGAAAATCGTTTGGCAAACAGATTGCAAGATGTCTAAATATCTTGATAATTAGACAGGCGATCGGCTTGTAAAACTCATGGGGTTCCTGACTGACACAAAGGTTTATAATTATCATTGCAGCATGAGCTAAATCCAGGATTTTGTTTCAGAATCTGAGACAAAGTTACCGGATCCCTTTAAAGAGAAGGTTGGGTACTGGTAAAAAACAAATTAGGGGCTTTTTCAACCAGCTTTCAGTGTTGAAGAATATCATATAGCAAACTCCCCTGGAAAACATTACTGGAAAATCTTGAAAACTTGCCACAAGTGTGTCTGTACATATACATGTAGTCCTGTTTCATGCCAATGTCTGTTTGTAATGATTTTCACTGTGATTTTTAGCAAGATTGAGCCAATTTCTCATTATTTGGGGGACTCCTTAACCTCACAGAGGCTGTTCACATCGCAATGAGATCTATCGGTCTATCGTAGCACCCCCTTTTTTCTAGCACGTGCTAGACCGCGCTATCTCTCGTGGAGCACCTCCAAGAGGTGCTCCAGTGGCACGCCGTTTTGGCTTGCCATGGCTCGCTGTTGGGCAGACCGAAACAACGTTGTACCCAGGCGCGTACGCAGGGGGGGGTTTAGGGGGTTAAACCCCCCCCCTTTGGAAATTTTTTGTGTGTAAACCCCCCTAAAAAAAACCTAAAACCCCCCCCCTTTTGGATTTTTTTTTTTTTTTTTTTTTTTTAATTAAAAAAAAAAAAAAAAAAAAAAAATTATTCCCATGGCCGACCTAAAAAAGGTGACCTTACCCCCCCCCCCAACGGAGCAAAATGTCAAATTTCCAAATTTCGAGACCAAAAAAAAAAAAAAAAAGTGTCCTCTTACCCCCCCCCCCCCCCCCCGCTTATTCAGCGGTCGGCTGAGTCGTTGCGATTTTTTTGGGACCCAAAAAAAAAAAAATGTGTCCTCCCCCCCTTACCTTTTTTTAAAACCATTTTTTTTAGGTAAAAAATGTATTAAAGCATTCAAAACTGAGAAATATAAGCCCATAGAGGGAGTTTTTTAAAAAAGTTTAAAAAAAGATTTCTGATCGACCGACCCATGTTTTGCCACCTTACAGGCAATACAACACTTTTTTTTAAAGGCCCTATATAAAAGCGGAATATTATTATTATTATTATTATTATAATACTTGTTCAATATTTGCAAGGAGGAAAAGTGTGTGACAAAAAACTATGTCCCATTACTGATTGTGATTTTAAGCCCCTCCACCTCTCCCCCCCCCCCCCCCCACATAACCAATATTCTACATGAAATTACCCAGGAATAAATAGCATGATACAATGTACTTAAATCATCTGGGAATGTTCATGATTATCAATCCCTTAATCTGGCCTGTCTGTGTGATCAAAGAAGAAGAAATTGTGAATTCATAGATTCAGATATGAAGCTATTCATGTGATATTGTATGTCTTTTATTACACATATGCCCACATTATGTTTATCTGTAAATGGTCGAATCATGGAACTTTTTCTCTTGGATAGGCTTTCACTTTTTGACAAACAAAAATGCATTTATATTTAAATTATGTTTGTAATTAATCAAATCACATAATCACACAGCTTTCAGGCCCTATATTCATTGTCAAATTTCAACAAACTAATTTTAGAGAATTATTTAAATTCTAAGTGTCATTTTTACTTTATGTAAATTTTGATCAACTATTCTTTTAAATCTGGTTACATTTTGGATTTTTAATTTAGGTAGAATCCTCTTTTGATTTGCTTTGTTTATTTGTCCATGTAAATGTATATTATGTTTTTATCAATGTCTATTTAAGTAGCTGTAATCATGAAACAATTACAGAGCTACATGTAAGTGCAATAAATCAGATCTGCACTCAGATCTACAATGTATACAATGTCTATGCAGTACTATAAATAGATTGTAAGGTCCCATCATTCAGTTTTGGCTCAGTGCTAACAGGATAAATGATATTGTCAGGCGGGATTGCTCAGTGGTAGAGCAGTGGTCTCGTAACCAGATCCCGGGTTCAAAACCAAGTCAATGTGCTATTGCCCTTTGGTAAGGCATTAATCCTCTTTATCAAGTCCCTCAGAGAGGACTTACATGTAAGTCCCCAATTGCTTACTTACAAGCAAACACATGCTTTCTTAACAGTCCAGTAAAACAAATAAACCAGCCAACCATTCAATTTGGGGACCTATAGTCTAATGATACAATGTACACATTTGAAACAAGGCCGAGTAGTCCACTGAAATGAGACTACTCGTAAGTGTAAGAGACAAGGTTAAATAACAGGATTGCTATTGTCCTTGTGCAAGGCTGTAGTTCTTTGTACATTCAACCAACATTTTGTTGCCAATTTAGTTTATGGCAGAGAGAGATGATCACTTCAGCTTCTTTCACTGAATGGATTTATTATTTGAAATGAAAGAAGAGCACGCTTTGCTATAATGTATAATATATTTATATATATATTTTTTCATTTCCATTATATTGTATTTTGTCACACAGCAGACCTTATGATGTCTCTTCAATAACATTATTTTGTTTTTATTTCTTTTTTTGCTGTTGTTGAGCAAGCAATTTTCAACGATTGTATGCTGTCACAAGTGTATGAATTCCATTGCAGTTCAAATCTCATTCATTCACTTTTCAAAGTGATATAGTAAATATATTTTTCCATTATGATTACGAAGATGGCAATCAAAGTTTCAAATAAAGAAAGATCATTTAGAAGTAAAAGAATTCTTTTTTATCACATGGCTCATTTATTTTCTCAATTTAACATTTTCACAATTTTCACATAATTTTCACATATTTTGATTTTCATCTGGTACAGCATTAATCTTCCATGAAGACAAATTAGAGCAATATAATCCATGTAATATTACTAAATAAAATTAGCAAAAGTATATAAAGTATTCTGCTGATGAACAGAAATCTAATTTTATAAACAAAATGGTGAAAAACATAAATATTTCATCTGTATTTCAATGTTATAAATATAAAGAATATTCTAAAATCTTTGGATTTCAACAAATCATAAAATTGTTTTAAAAATCTGGTTTAACTGCTTGGTCCTACTATGGATGTACAAAAGCTGACTCAGTGACTGGTCACATCTCCCTACAAATCACTGTTGACCGACTGATCATATTTGCATACTTGAAGAACATCAAGATTCTTTGAATAGTTTGGGTGTCTTCTTTGTATTGGAGGAGAAAATCAGTCTATAAATAACTTTGGGTCTCTCCTACCAGTAAAACCGACTGGGAAATACATGTTATTTCTATTAATTCACCTCGGCCACACTGCCAAACTGACTCGAGACCAATTCCAGACCAACTGCAATTTTGCCATTCCATGTAATGTAATTGTCTGTTTGGTCTGTAGTCTGTATGATATTGGTCTGGTCAGTGTGACTGACTTATTAAGATCTTCATTCAAGAGTTTATCTAAACACTAAAATATCTATCAATATTGGACTGACGGTGTATAGTGTATACAATAGTGTGCAGTGGTTTGGGAGTTAATAAGTACCAGTCAGAAATCTTTCAAACTTTCTTTTGGAAATTAACATTTTATGACAGAGGATAGATATTAGAGATATCATGGAAGAAATAATAACAGCATGCATAGAGAGATATTTTAGTCCATCATACATACTTATAACCAAGTAAAACGAGATTGAATAACATACTGTAATTTTATAAAACTGTATAGCAACACAAGTATAACTTTATACACAACCTTAAAGGCTCTTATATCCAGTTAAGATACATATGTCATTTTGTCAGATGAGAAACAACTGTGAAGAGGTGATATAGCTTTTTCTTTTTAACAATATTACGCAGATACAAAAATCGAAAGCTTTTATCAGCAAATTATGATATAGAAAGTATGATTGTTTAAACCTTCATGATATTACCATCATCTTCAATGATACACAAAATAATAAAATAATCCACATTGCCACTGTGTAAAGCGTTGGTCACATCCCACCGTGCGTGTTTTTAGTCCGTACGGTTTTTGGGGAGGCCACGGCCGCCACGTTTTTTCTGAAAACGTAGGGAGGGAGTGGCAAAGGCAGGGAGGGAGTACCGTCAACGCGCGTCACACGCACTGTATAAGTACGTGGCCCGTACGCCACGCCTGGCCGTGAACGGTTGCGTGCATCGTACGTTGCGCACGTGGTAAGTGCGTTGTAAGTGCTTACAACGTGCTTACAACGTACGGTCTCCGTGCGGTTGCCACGTTATCGTACGGAGGCCGTACTTACAAGTGCTGCTCACGTACGGTGTCCTTACTCACTCGCATGTTGTAAGTGCGTGCACGTGCGATGAACTCGGTGTTTATATAGGACGACATTCCGATGTTCTCTAGAAGTCCCAGCTGTTGCTGCCTCAAGATGCCGCCCATTCCACCGAAGAGACTATATACTGCATAAATCAGTGCGAACAACGTGCGTTGTAAGTGCTTACTCGGTACGGTCCACGTGAGTTCTGCGTGCTCATTGGATAGCTGAACTGGGGGAAGTGGCGAGTAAGCACGGCCCACGCACTTATCACGTGCGCCTTTAAAAGACGCACGGAGTCAGTGCGTTGTGCGCTCGTTGGCAGTACCGGGCACGCACGTCACACGCACTGGGGTGAATCGGTAGCCCGAACGCAGCCCGAACGCAGCGAAAGTTCCTCGTGCACTAAAAGTGCTACGGTGTGTCTGCGTGCTCCCAAATCCGTACAGAGGCGGTACTCATCACGTACGGATACCCAAAGTTTGCCCACGTTTTTGCACGTAGACAGCACGCACTTGCAAGTACGGCGGGATGTGACCACCGCATAACCTGGAAGCATTTTACTCTTACAATATCTTGTTGCCAAAGTATGAACTCCTCACCTTTTATTATTTCAAATGGTAAACCCAGTAATTACTGAATTAATTCATTGTCATAAGGTTAATACAGGGGCTGCCCTGCCCTGCTCCATTATGCAGTGGGTTTATGGAAAATTATTTATTACTAAAATTAATCAAAAGGTAAAAGAAATCAATTCAGAGAAGAGACATAACAAAAATAGATGTCAATGTTGCAGCATCTGCCCTCGACATAAAAATTGTTACTAGCGTTTTTCCTAAAAATCACATGCTTGGAATACCTGCATTTCCTTTAAATGCATGTACCTGATCACTTTCTTATTGTTAAGATTGAATTTACATGTAGAGTAGAAACTTGCGTTCAGAACTATATATTCATTACACTTACTGGCATGTAAGATGGGTGAACAATTGACCAAAAGGACAACCATGTTTATGATAACTATATTCTGACTAATTTCTTTCTGTTACTTGAGAGACAAAGTTCACTATACAACTTTCTTTATATTGAATCTACATAAGAATAAATGCACAGAAGGCATATTTACATGCTTGCATCAACATGTATTGCACAAGAATAAAGAAATATATATACTTTTCCCCTTTTTTTTTATACATCACTAGGTTCAACTTTGATATAGTGATACTGGAATGGAGTATATTTGACAAATATATACAAATTTATACCACATCACAGAACAATATGATACATGATAGTGCTGCATAAACATGCACATTTAATATAAACATTCATTTTAATAACTTTTTCTCATTCTTTGTTTATATTTATCTACACGCCAAGGAAATGAATAGCTTACTTTTTGAGAAATTATCATTTACAAGTTGTAATGCCTGATTTACAGACATTTTCATGGCAAGAAACTTTTCTAAATCGTCCAAATTTAGTTTTGTGACAGTTGAGATTGCTTTATTTCACGACATGAAACTTTAATGAATCTTAAACCCATGCAAAATTTGTGGACACTTCAAGGGAGGCAAAATTTCTGGTGGTTTCACAGTACTTAGCATGAATAATCAGTAACATACAGAAAGATGAGTTAATTGATATCGAAAGTGTTGAACTGTGTTCAATAGGACCAAACTGATAGATGCTTCATTGCTTACAAGAGTGGGAGTTATGATACTGGTTCATTCTGGTTTGTACCAGTTTAGACCAGTCATTACTAGTTCAACACCATACATACAGGTCAGGATAAATAAATACAAACATTTGCATAAAACTCATTGCACAAGCTGGAAAGACACACTTTAAGACATCCAATTATGAAGCATATAATTTTCAACAAACATGCCAATCAAGCATATTCTTAGAATTTGAACATTTGTCATGGGGATACAAAGGTTAGAACCATTACTTCAAGGAGATACATATGAAATCCAATTGTGATTGCAATATATATATATGAATGATAATACAGTCAAACCTGCTTTAGTGACCACCTGTCTACAAATACCACATTTTTTGTTTCCCTTGAAAAATTGTTTCTTGTTGAAACATGTACTATTAAAAGGAACCTGTCTACAAAGACCAAGTTTTTTGTTTCCCTTGAAAATGGTTTCTCATTAAAACATGTACTAAAGGAAACTCTACAAAGACCAATTTTGACGTTTCCATTGGGCGGTCACTATAGACAGGTTTGACTGTATAACATACAGAGCTAGGAGAGGAACTTGATTGTTAATCAGGCTCCTGCACGTTGGTGGGACATTGATGATAGAGGGCGCTAGTTATATTGTGTAGTTAAACTCCAAGTCTGCGTCCTTGAGTTTGTCAGGTAAGAGTTTGTTCATCTTGTCATTCATGTGCACTGTGAAGTAGTACCTCCAGAATCCAACGCGATCCTCTGCAAACAAAAATTAAATCCAGTAGATGATTGAAATGAAAAACTGTGAAGTGGATATGATGATGTGGTTTTCATTTTTTGTATATGGGAGAGAAAGAGAGACACACACATAAAGAGAAATAGAGGGGGAGGGGTCAAAATTAAGAGGGCACGCAGAAAACAAGAGATGAGAGATTAAGGGAAAGATGCAGAGAGATGGGAAGAGAGAGAGAGAGAAGGAGGGGTGGCAATGAAAAGCATCATAGTTATATAACAGACTAGGATTCACAAATTGGACAGCAAGTCTGATTTAGTGTGAGGTCATCAGCCACCATCTGTGACCATATGCGGTTATGCCTTTATCATTTTCTGTAGTATAGTACGGTCTTTCCAATTAATTGTAGAGTGGTTTGTCCACCCAGTAAGTATTTATAGATTCAATAGCTTTTTGATAGAGTAGAAGGAAATGATAATGAAATGAAATATGAACATACCTTTTCTACTTAAAAATAGTCCCCATGGTAATTGATAGCTTTGATTACTACCTGGGATCAGCTACTTAAAAATGTTATTAAGGAAATGATGATGAATGAACGAAGATGAATGTAAACATACCTTTCCTATTGTAGAGTGGTTCGTCATCCCAGTAATTGTTGATAGCTTTGATAGCCTTCTCACCCAGAGGTTTGTCAAGGTAATTAGCTACCTGAATCACGGCAGCTGGAAAATCCTGAAAGAAAATAAAAGAAGATTACTTGCATCTCAAAGGATATTAATGATACTAATATATTCGGTTCTTGTATAGCGCATATCACATTATAACGTCTCTATCTACTTCCAAAGAGCTTTGGAAATTATTTCTCCGGCTTTAGCATGGCTGCCTTTACGGCGCTCTAGAATTTCAAGGAATTAATTCCTTCCAGGTACCCGTTTACCTCACCTGGGTCGAGTGTGGCAAAGGTAGATTAATGTCTTGTCAAAGGATATTCCTCATGATACATGTATCTCTTCCCGATTTGAAAACATTTGATTTGTACAAAGCAAATGATCCATCTCACATTTGGATAAATAAATCAGCAAATATAACATTATAAATAGTAAATTATGCTCATTTTGCTCAAAATCTTACAATCCTGTTTGAATATAAAAATATAAAGTATTGACAACAATATTAAAAGTGTGGAAATTATTGCTGCTAAATGGTTTCTTGAATACAAATGCTAGTACTTCTTCAAATCAACATGATTTGTGTTTCCATGAGAACCTCAAGCAAGAATTGTTCTGTTGTCGATATCTTACAAACCATTGTTTTCCTAAGATATACAATAAAGCCAGAAATTCCGTATTCAGGACATGATATTTTGTGATTTGTATACAAGAACATCTTCCACAGCAATACACTTTCACCAAACGTAATAATTCAGTTTTATATCAGTTGTGATGCAATTATTTGTGGCATGAATTGTTCCCAAATTTGTACAACTCACAAAGTTTGCATAAATTTAATTTGCGCAAAAGCTTTTGATTATACAGAAAAACAAAGATCCTTACCTTTTTCACATCTTCGTAGTTTAGGAATAGAACATTCTCATGATGTCTATTTTTCCAGAAGTTCAGAACATGATCAAAGTAGGAGCCATAACCCACTGAAATAGAAAAGAAAAAATAGAGAATTTGTTTTTCTTCAAAACCTGGGGCTGTATTCTGAAAAATTATGTTATCTTTTATGTTACTGAAAATATTGTAAAATTAGAATAACGAACTGCATGGAATACGCGCTTTTCGCTGCTGCTTGCAAACATGTATCTCTAATCTATTCACAGAAAGCCTTGCACAGACATTAATCTATGATGTGTCCTATTTTAAATGTACTGGAAACATTCTGGCATTGTTTCTTGACCTAAAATATCAACAACAAAAGAGAGGTCATCACATGAAAAGATGGGGGCACATTTTAGGAGTTGAGTACTGAATGTATTTCACTTGAGTTTCAAAAGGGAGAATCAAGGCAGAGGATGGCTGTACCTCCCCCCCCCCCCCTCCAAAAAAAAAAAATTAAATTAAATTTTAAATAATGAGTTAATTAATTAATGAATAAATACAAAATACATAAATAAATACATAAATACAAAAATACAAAGACAAATACAAAAAAAAAAACTCAACAAATGATTCAGGAAGTGAGTAGATTATAAACTGACACTTGTTATTGATGAATCTGTAGAAGAATTGGTTGAAGGTGCCTTTGTAGTGTACCATACGAACAGTCCTGTGAAAGTCATAGAATGAACACATGACATCCTTAGGGTTCCGGGCAATGTAGATGATCTGTGTGTGTGAAGAGAGAGATGAGGAGGAGGAGGAGAGGGGAAGGGAGAGAGGAGAGAGCGAGAGGAAAGGACAGAGAAAGAGAAAGACAGATAGATTGAGAGAGAGGGAGAAGAAAAAGGAGAGGAAAGGGAGAGAGAAAGAGAAAGAAAAAAAAAGAATGAGAGAAAGAGAGAGGAAGGGAGAGAGAGACATAAACAGAGACACAGAAAATAGAAAGACAGAGATACATAGAGAAAGAGAGAGGGCAACAGAGACAAAGAGAAAGGGAAAAGGAGAAAGAGAGAAATAGAAGGGAAGTGGGAAGAGAACATATATGAATGTCAATGCAAACAAAATTTTCATCAAAAAGCAAATGACTAATAAACTTTATCTTTACGATAGAATAAGAGCTCAATTGAATTTTACATTCATGTACATGTCCATGTTTATGCCTATTCAACATCAATGGAATTGGATTGAGTGCTTTTATCACTTTTAAAAGAGCATGCAATATCGGCCTAGACCAGATCCAATAAAATCTTATAACATACTTAAAATGTACATGTAGTAGATTTGGTATGCATATTGTGCAACAAGGCGTACATGTACATGTTGCATAATCCAACCTCAGCTCTGAGCATACATGTACATGCATTCATGTACATTATTCAAGATTCAAGATTCAAGATTCAGATATAAGTTACCTGTACATTGTAGGATGTACACTTTGTGTACAGATTAATGAAACTGATAAGTTTTCTGAACAACTTGAAAGTTGAAATGTTCCAAAGGGGTCTTGTTAAAATTAGTTATGTTTAGCTTCACACATGATCACGCGCCATCATATTTTTTATCAAAACCAGTGAATGAATTCTAAAGACTTCATGTAAATGTAACATAGAACATGTAAAAACACATGTCCAGTATCTTGTGAATATATGTTTCAAATATATTTTTCATCAATGAATGAATTATATAGAAGAATGTGCAAAAAAAGTGCATATTATAAAACATATAAACTAATTGAATCTTATGAAGATGTAGACATGTTATTTCTTGTATTGTTCTGTTTTGTGATGGTGCATGTATGTATAAGAAATATTTATATCCTGGCCTTGTATATTACCTTCTAAAACTTAATGCTTACAAAGATTAGCATTTTGTTACATGTACTAAAACATTTAGATATACATTTACATTTAAAATGCTTGTCCTCCTACAATGTCAATTTATTCTAATGTGTTATTTTCTCTTGATTAAGTAGAAGAAAAAGGCCAGCTACAAATATATGTCCCTATATGAACCTGTTAACACACTCGTTTAAAAGAACATCCAAAGTAAAACAAGGAGAATTAAATAACAAGGAGAATTAAATAACAAGGAGAATTAAATAACAAGGAGAATTAAATAACAAGGAGAATTAAATAACAAGGAGAATTAAATAACAAGGAGAATTAAATAACAAGGAGAATTAAATAACAAGGAGAATTAGATAACAAGGAGAATTAAATAACAAGGAGAATTAAATAACAAGGAGAATTAAATAACAAGGAGAATTAAATAACAAGGAGAATTAGATAACAAGGACAATTAAATAACAAGGATAATTAAATAACAAGGAGAATTAAATAACAAGGAGAATTAAATAACAAGGAGAATTAAATAACAAGGAGAATTAAATAACAAGGAGAATTAGATAACAAGGAGAATTAAATAACAAGGAGAATTAAATAACAAGGAGAATTAAATAACAAGGAGAATTAAATAATAAGTCCACATCTTTAGAAGAAGTACATTTACATGTACAGTAAAAACCTGTCTATAGTGACCGCCCAAGGGATGCACAAAAAGTGGTATTTGTAGACAGGTTCCTTTAGTACATGTTTCAAAGACAATTTTTTTTCAAGGGAACCAAAACATGTGGTCTTTGTAAGTAGGGATCAGCAGGTTTGACTCTATTACTACATGTATACTCCATTCTTCCATACATAACAGCCCAATGTACTTACTGATAAAATATGCATGTGGTATGATTGGTATAGATCTATCTGTTCTTTTTATCTACACTTTTATTTAATCAGAGTTGCCTCTTTCTTTTAACAAACTGCTATCACTGAATGCTCTACATGTCTACATCTTCATAAGATACTCTAAACAAAAAATTATGTTGAATAATTAAGATAGAGCTTAATGCATTCACTGACACATACAATGATATGAGACTAAGGAAAGTGATAGATGGGTTGGAGCTTCAGTGGTGGGTGTCCTCAAAGGTTAACAACTCCCAGAAGACTGAAAGTTATTGCTTTGCTTACAATCAGCTGGAGGAAAAAATATTTTGTATATTTGATTGGCCATTTTGCTAGCTTGACACATGGCAATTTTCTTTAAAAAAAGGAAAAATTGACAAGACATTGATCTACATTTGCCACAATCAACCGAGTTTAGGTTAATACCCAATAAACAAAACACTAAAAAGTAACCTCTTTTGGAAGTGTATTTTAAGTGATTTTAAAGTATGGTGCCTTTTGAACTAAATTTAAACGTTATCGACACGTGCTTTCATTTAAACAAAAAAGGTACTCCTGTTCACGTTTTCATCTAACCTAAAAACCACCAATTTATCACGCGACTGGAGTAACGTGATTCCACTTACCTCTGTAAATCACGTGTTTATGACCAAATAATCACTTGACCAAGCAACGAGTTTTTTATCCGTTAACCGATGGTGGTGATAAATAAGTAATTATTTGGTCTTGTAAGCACCTTAATCGATTGGTTTCACAGGTTATCCAAGGTTGATGGTAATAATCACGTTACTTACACCGGCTAATCGTCTTATTGTTTTGTCCGTGAATCTCTGTTTATATTAAATTAGTAATTCTGAGGTGTCTTACACACCTCTTTAAATGGTTTCAAAGTTACCATAACTTTCTTGGTTATGATCACGTAGCTAAAACTGATTACTAATCTCAGCTGTGAATCGTGATATTTAGGTGTGAAAAATTAGTAATTACTAGGTGTCTTAAAACACCTATTTAAATGGTAGTCAAAGTTGCCAGCAGTTCCGCGGTAATGATCTCGTGACTAAAACGGATTATTAATCTAAGCTGGGCATAAGTGACTTTTAGGTGTGAACAATTAGTAATTATTAGGTGTCTTAAAACACCTTTTTAAATGGTTTCAAAGTTACCATAACTTTATTGGTGATGATCACGTAGCTAAAACTGATTACTAATCTAAGCTGTGAATTCGTGATATTTAGGTGTGAAAAATTAGTAATTATTAGGTGTCTTAAAACACCTATGTAAATGGTAGTCAAAGTTACCAGCAGTTCCGCGGTGATGATCTCGTGACTCAAACGGATTATTAATCTAAGCTGGGTATTCCGTGATTTCCAGGTGTGAAAAATGAGTTATTCTTGGGTGTCTTGATGGTTTCACAGTTACCATTTAAGTTCCGTGGTGATAATCCCGTGTCTGTTGGCATATTTCTATTTTCACCAGTTGATAACTGACTGTTGGCATCTTTTCATTGCACCAGTTGATAACCGGTCTGTGTGCATATTTCCAGTTGCACCAGTTGATGACTGCTGGCTGACTGTTGGCATGTTTCCAGTTGAACCAGCTGACACAAATTAATTTGCATATTGAATATGGGGTGCGTGAAGATCTATGTTTTTTAAACAGTTTATCTGAATTTACAGCATATTTCTTTATTACTGATGATTTAGTTATATGCAATTCATTTCGAAAATACTACAAATATAAATTACCAGTTATTAGGACATTTCGCTACTTCGTATAAATTACATTTAATTAAACATGAATAAGGAAAACATTAACTAGAACTAAAATAATTTCAATAAAATACAAGTATATGAAAAAATTTCGACTAATTAAATTATGTAAGTCTACTTATTACCAATGCCTTTACATTGGAAATACAGACGATACCAGTATTGAAGTGCTGTTGCCGTTCAACTGTTTGGAAGTTTTACCAAATGGTTCTAATGGCTCAGCTAGACCAGTTGAATTCTAACTGGTCTGGATCAACTGGATCATTTAGCCCATTTCAATTTCCGGGGTGACCAGTTGGCATTAACTGGTTCATCAACTGGACCAGTTGCAACTAGCTTTCTCCTCTGGGATGTTTGCAACCACCCCCTCCCCCCACCCCCTCTAATCCCAAACTGCTTCCGGCGCGCCTGGACGTAATGATGGAAGATCCAAAAGACGATGTTCAGAAACGGGATGAGAACGTCATTATTTTGGTTTATTTATTGTGTAACATTTGCGTAATTATTGGGTTGAACGCGGGCTACAGTAATATATTTCCTCTTCGACGTAATATTCACGTGAATTTCACGCAGATATTTTGACTAAAACTATCACTAACGCTTCACGTGTTTCTGTGACGCGATAATTTCGTTTATGAAGATCATAATTTCATAACCAAAAAACACGGGAGTATTAGGTTTCCAAACCATGGTCTCCAAGGTAGGGATAATCACGTTATTATAATGGTGATATTACAGTGACAATTGCGTGATTTAGTGTACGTGTGTTTTAAGTGACCTAGTGCAATAAACGTATTAACACATTTACGTAAATGTCCGGTGTTTGAAGAACGTAACTCTCCTCAAGTTGATACCTTGATATTGACGTGATTTTCACGTGATTTTGTTTATTGGGTAGGTATCTGGTAGGATTATTCCTTAAAATGCACTGTGCGCCGATATAGGTAGCCGGAGCTAAAGCTAGGGTGATACTTTCCAAAGCTTTTTGGAAGCGCATAGAGACTATTAAGTCTTATACGTTTTACAAGAACAGACTGTTATTATTATGATTATATTTACACTGTATGTACATGTATAGCGCAATGAGCAAGATGCTTGGCAAATCTAAGCTCTTTATAAGAGGCCACCTTTAAAGATGACCTTTGACCTTACCTTGCATTGCTTTTCCTGGACTCCCTTTGGTAGGAGCTGGAATGGGAGGTGTGACTTGATATAACGAGGAGATTGAAGACTCTTGATGGTCTCTAGACCAGGACTTGGTCCTTCTAGGAATGGGATAGCATCTTCTACTGTCTCCAGGCTGATACTGGTCTCCTGGAGGTTGCCTCCTTGGAGCAAGAGATAGATCAGGTCTTGGACCCACACTCCTGAAAAACAGACAATTAGAAAATAATATAGAACTGTTAATATCCATCTCCATCTCTAGACCAGGACTTGGTCCTTCTAGGAATAAGATGGCACCTTCTACCGTCTCCAAGCTGATACTGGTCTCCTGGAGGTTGCCTCCTTGGAGCAAGAGATATATCAGGTCTTGAATCCAGACTCCTGAAAACAGAAAGTAAGAAAATAATATAGAATTATGAATATCCATCTCCATTTAACTTTGTCTTGCTACAAATAATTCTACAAAATACAATAATATCATGTTCTACTACATGTATCTCTGTTTCAATGTTGATCGTCTGAAGACTGTTGTATTGGAGCAGAAGATATGTTCTGGAGCCTTCAGTCCTAAAAATAGAAGAGAAGATAAGATGCCTCTTTTTCTTCTACTGAAAATCATCAAAAGGCTATGCAGCCTATGGCAAAGATGAACTAAAGGTTGCAAATGGTGTGAGGTAAACAGTTGAGGCTAATTGGGGTACGCTATTTCATTCAGGGATAAAGTGTTGGGAAGATGCAAACATATCTATCTTGCTTCTGCCTTGGTGCATCTAAAACGGTCATGTTATGGTTCTTCCCTGTTTAGGATTTGTTGAAGGAAAAAAATACTTCCAAGGCACTGGCAAATCAAACCATTGACTATCTAGGTTTTATTAGAACAATGTTTTTGCGGTTCTAGAAACGAGATGGCAGAAAATATTGTGGCTTGACCAAATTCTTCAAAATATAAAAGACAAAATAATATTTTTTATTTCTATTTTCATTGTTTTAATTATGTAATTTATTGTATTGAGGAAATCTTATCATTGCTAAAATGTACAATTAACATTATACAGCCTATATCATAAACATGTCTGTTATGAATGTGGTCAGTTCTCCTTCAAAATGACATCAGAGTCCAAATACATCTGACCTTTAAAGGTGGTGTGAAATTACAAACCAACCCTTCACATGATAGAGAGCTACATGAACGTTGCTTTTATGATATTGTTATTAGCTCAGGCCGTTCACACTTTGCACATATTGTAGCTCATAAATTGCACTTTAATAAAATAAAGAAATATGGAAATAAATAAAATTGAACCAATTGGTGGCAGTAGCTTTAACCCTTTGCCAATGATAAATGGGTGGCTCTTAAAGAATAAGAGAATTCAATAGCCAATGGGAGAAATCTTTCCTATCAGTGCATGCTAAATCCACCTTGTTCAAACATTCAAAGAAAAAATATCCAGGTCAAATAAAGGCAAGACAACTATTTCACTCATAGCTATAAATCTCCATCTCGATTTTGGTAAGATTAGATTTAGTGTGGTTTTAATCAATGTAACTTTGAACATGGATGTACAAGTATTTGGTGTCTACACTGTACATTGTATGTGTGGATGTTTCCACCTGTAACATGCATACATGTACAGTTCATGAACCCCCGAGTACTACCCTGGGGGAATAATCTAATCAGAATTAATTGGATATGCCATTCAAGTACATTATAACAGTCAATTTATGCACAGCTATAGTGCATTCTCATGAAGGCTTATTTAACATAGCATACTGTGGAACCAACTACCTACTGCTGTGCAGACGGCCTCATCTGTTGACCAGTTCAAGAAACTACTCAAGTCACATCTTTTCTACTAGAAATTACTTTATTACCAGCCTACATATACTTTGCTGATCTCTGAGAAGTGTCTAACTTTTGTTTTTAAGTGGCCCAAACATTGTCGAGCATGTGTGCAGCGCTTTGTAACTGCAAGGAAAAGGCGCTATATCAAATATCTTTTGGATTGGATTGGATTGGATACTCTAGAGTAAACATGTATATTAATAATATTTCTGTCATACTTGTAATTATTTAACAACTGAAGGGGTTACATTCAATACGGATCAGTTATTGTTACTGAACTAGGATTAGTGCGTGTACAGCTACTAAGCTACAGTATTAATCCATTTCAGCCTTTAGAGATGTTTTGGGGTATCAATCTAGTTATCATGAGTATACTCAACAAAAATGGTTGCATTTAATTACAGACCAGTTGTATGTGAATTGAGTATCTTAGGACAAGTACATAGACTGCACGGCTACCTTGTTATTGTAGTTCAGCGTCATCTTTTTGTGGAAAGAGCAAAAATGACAGATTTTTTAAAAGTCAATTTCTTTGGCAATACATCGAGTTGCATGTGGGTGGACATTTGAGATAGAGAGAGAGAGAGAGGGGGAGAGAGAGATAGCTGTTTGCGATGGTTCAGAGTTATATTTTAATCAAGAGTCCTATCTTATGGTAGGGTATTACATTCCCTTTCCTCTGGGAAATAGAGGGACATCAAGCGTAACGTCTGTCTGTGAGCCGTGTGTGGTTCCGTAAATTGATTTCAGACATTTGAACCACAGAGGGGAGAGAGAGAGAGAGAGAGAGAGCAAAAAGGAATAAAAAATCTCTTTCTCTCTTTCTCTCTCTTATTCTTTCCTTTCTTTTAGGCAGATGAATTAGGCTACTCAATATTTTTACGGTGTATTAAACATTTTTCTTGTAGTCTTTTGTCTGGAAATGAAAGTTGAAATGCATATGGTCAAAGAAAGAAATAAAGCTCAGGCTCGACGATGCAGAATTTACGAAAATCAAAACATCAATCATCTTGAAGCAGGTGAAAGAGTGACATGGAAAGGGAACCTGGATGAAGTCAGAAAGACGATGGAAGAAATAATAACAGTCGAACAAAGAATGACCTATACAACTGCTCCATCATAGAACTGCTCAGCTATTTTTAAAACAGAATAATCAATACCTTCTTGCTTTCTTAAAATAAACCTACTCCCAAAATAGTTATCGGCCATATGTTACACTCTTCCTGTTCTTGAACAAATTGAAGTCCTGCAATCCTCTACTTGTTCATTGTAGGAAAATCAATGTTTAAGTGAGAGACAATTTCCATTCAATTTGACACCATCCTAAAGTCATGATGAAGAGGGGGAAATTCATGAATATAAAGAGAACGATGTGACAAATCATTTCATGATGATTGCACAGGCTAACTGGGGAAACTGTGGTTTCTTATCTTCTCTTGTCTGCTCATCCCCTAAGGCTTTAAAAAAAAAAAAATTGCTGTACTGCCCTTTGCGAAAAATCTTAAAATCTACGGTCTGCTTTTCATTAAAGTTTTTTTTTACCGTTTTTTTAGAAGAATTTTTTTTAAAATAAAAATATATGTATTAAAGTATTCAAAACTGAAAAATATCAGCCAATACAGGGAAAAAAGCAACATTTTTTTTTTTTTAAATCAACCGACCAACCCAGGTGCTGACACCTAAAGGGCAATACAACGTCTTCTTTTTATAGGCCCAATCTATTTTTTTCTTATATCTCTTCATTCCTTGTACCTTATCTCAACATCTCTCTTTTCTTTTCTATATAACATGTACAGTGCGTATACAAAAGTATATCTTACTTTGGTAGATTCCCATTTAAAAGTTATATCCTGCATGGCCCTGGGATGTATTTTATTTTAAAGAATAAGTAATATTCTGTCTGATGATACCTTGGTCATTATTCTGCTACCACGGATGACTGCAGTAGCAGCAGCCTTTTGAAAGGGTATTGTCAAAATCCTCTTGTACCAAATTTGGGCTGAAGCAATGAATTTGGGTCAATAGCCCTTTACTCTCTAATCCTCAAATGGACTCTTCCTCTGTAGTTTTCTTATCTTAACTTTTCATGTTTGATTGTAAAGCTAACATTCCAACAAAAAAGAAGCAATATGATAAATAAAATGAGTTATAAAGGATTTTTTTTCTTCAAGAGGTGTTTCCAAAACTACTAGAAGATTTGATGACAACGGTACACTTCGTAATAAAATATTCTATATGCAGAGTCATACATGTAGGTAGATTGAATATTAATATTCAATTTAATATTCAATTAAATTCAATTCATTTCAATTCAGTTTATTGTGCATCACAAATAAAATAACAAATCATAAATACAGAATAGGCCAGGAACTCTAGGAAGCAACTTGTGCTTATACATGAGGCCCTTAACAAGGGGGCAAATCGATCCTTACAATCCTTAAAATAAAATTTAGAAATAGAGAAATTGGGTGAAACACTTAAATGGAGATAGACGAAATGACAAAGGGCAGAGAGAGAACTGAAGGAAAGGGGAAACACTTCATTCATCTGATCAATACATATATGCTGAAATACATAACCCTAAAGAGACAGGTCTGTAAATAATGCATAGGTTCATGGGTATTGAGGACAAACAAGACAGAAGCAAGATGGAGAAAGAGAGAGAGAGAGAGAGAGAGAGAGAGAGAGAGAGGGAGAGAGAGCGAGACACAGAGAGACAGAGAGAGAGAAAGAAAGAGAGAGAGAGAGAGAGAGAGAGAGAGAGAGAGGGAGAGAGAGCGAGACACAGAGAGACAGAGAGAGAGAAAGAAAGAGAGAGAGAGGGAGAGAGAGCGAGACACAGAGAGACAGAGAGAGAGAAAGAAAGAGAGAGAGAGAGAGAGAGAGAAAGAAAGAGAGAGAGAGAGAGAAAGAGAGAGAGAGAGAGAGGGGTGATAGGAGTGAAAGGGTAGGAAGGGAAAGGAAAGTGCACTGAAGACTTAAATTATAATTAGAAAAGAGAGAGAGAGGGGGGAAGACGGTGAGAGAGAGAGAGAGAGAGAGAGAGGGAGAGAGGAGAGAGAGAGAGAGGGAGAGAGGAGAGAGAGAGAGGGGTGATAGGAGTGAAAGGGTAGGAAGGGAAAGGAAAGTGCACTGAAGACTTAAATTATAATTAGAGAAGTGAGAGAGAGGGGGGAAGACGGTGAGAGAGAGAGAGAGAGAGAGAGAGAGAGGGAGAGAGGAGAGAGAGAGAGGGAGAGAGGAGAGAGAGAGGGGTGATAGGAGTGAAAGGGTAGGAAGGGAAAGGAAAGTGCACTGAAGACTTAAATTATAATTAGACTAGCAGGACCCGCGGAAATCCGCGGGATCCTAGAGGGGGGCGGGGGTGTAAATAGATATATAGAGACTGTCTAAATTAAAACCACCAAGAACTTTATTTGCCATTCAGGCCATTAAGAAATATACATGTTAAGCGTCCCCGCCCGCTTCCTTTTTGGGGGTCGCCTCCTATTTTTTTTTTTGAAATTTTTTGAAAAGTTTTTTTTTTTTTTTTTTTTTGAAAGAAAAAAAAACAGCGTCCCCGCCTGCTTCCTTTTTGGGGCCGCCTCCTATTTTTTTTTTTTATTTATTTATTTTTTTTTTTTGAAAGAAAAAAAACATGAAAAGCACTGCTAAAATGTATTTCTGATTTTAAAAAAGAAAAAAAAAAATTGTCGGCCGCCATCTTGAAAAATAGCCCGAATGTCAGGAAAAATGTACGTAGCGGCCATTTTGAAAGAAAATAAAAAGAAAAAAAAAAGGGCCTCCTCCTTCCCATTTTTCAAAAAAACAGGAAGCTAAACATGTTTTTTTTTTAATTTGGCCTTATATAAAAATTTAAAAAACGATCCAACTGTACCGGTAGTTATTCTTTAAGCCACTGGAACTGCGTAGAGTTCCGTAGTGTGGCGTACCGACTACGCAGAAATTAGGCTGCGTATTAATGGGGAAATAGTCCCTGCGTAGGTTATGCGTAGGCTGGCGAAAAAAATTAAACAGGTTGAATTGTTTTCGTTCATCTTGCGTACCCCTTTCCGTCCCTCAGCATATAGTAACGTAGGCCAGCGTAGTTGTTACGCAACACTACGCAACTCTACGTATTGACCCCACGCCAATTAGTGACCCGCAAGTGTCACAAATAAAGTATTAAAAATATGCTCATCTGACCCTATACGCCTAAAACCCCCAAGCTTTCGGGGGTTTATGGCCCCTTGAAACCCGTGGACCCCACGCCTATATTATATATACACTCAACTCGCTGCGATCTGATCTCTCCCCCCCCCCCCCCCAACTTTGAAAAACGTAACCCCCAAGCTTTCGGGGGTTTATGGCCCCTTGAAACCCGTGGACCCCACGCCTATATTATATATACACTCAACTCAGGACCCGCGGAAATATGCGGGATTCTAGAGGGGGTGCGCAGGCAAAAAATTAAGTTTTCATTTTGGGGGCTCCATTTCAAATTTTAGGGAAATTTTCGGGGGCTCTTTTTTCTGGGGCTACTTTTTCATTAATTCATAAAAGGATAGGCCTACACTTTGTTGAGATTTGTTTAGTAGGTCTAGGCTAAGGTTTCAGGCTTCCTACTTCATAATTGCCTATTTAAAAAAAAAAACATTTTTCTAGTTCAATAACTAAGTTTTCATGCATTGATTTGATGCAAGAACTGTAACATATTTAATAGACCCTAGATTGTGATTATTTCTGACCATGAATTTCGATAATCATTTTTCAAAGTAAAATTTTCACAAGAAAATCAGACAGTCGTTTAAAAACGTAGACATTAGTAATACTTTTACTAATTCGAAGCTCAGGTTTCGTAAATCTATTCACGAAACTATATTGAAATCGCGGCAATAATCATGCAAACCAACAGATAACAATTTCAAAGTGTCAAATCTCTTCGACTCGAATTCAACTCACACACTGCTGCATAACTGCAACTCAGCTCATCTCACACACACTTCACCGTGGCAATGCACTGTATTGTATTCGTGTCAGTTACGGTGATTTTGTCTGATTTTCTTTACTTTGAAGAAATGATTATCAAAATTACGTAAACATGGCGAGAACATCACAAAATAGGCTTTAATTTCATACCTCTATTTATGGAAACTTTATAATATTGCAGCAATCGTGATGGAAATTGATTGCAGTTTCGCGATGTTTAGTGGTTCATGGTCTAGATTCAGCTTCTACCAAAACAAAATCGACCGCCAAAAACTCGAGCCCTACGCTCCGTCTCGATCTCGCAACTGCGAAAATGTACATGTTTTGGCGTACTTGCGTGCGACATGGTAAGCCAGGTAAGGTATGTTTTTCGAGTTTTTTTACGACCGATTTTTGTGTATACAATTTTATACGGATAGTCATCGGTCGTGTGTCAATGTTGAATATCCATGAGGTATCTCTGTCGTCACGCATATCCTGCATTATGCATGTCGCGTCTGTTTTCGCCCTGGACGTCGACACGGAGGAGGACCTCGGGCGGAGTATAGCCAATTCCACAGAGTAGACTCTCCCGCGGACGATGGCACCGGGCACGGGTACCCCGAGGGCAGGGTTCAGGAGGAGATAGCCGCACCAACTTGGGTCGGCGATCTCATTAAAAAACAATAGAATACAAGGACTCGCGGAGACGTCGCGCCCCCCGCGGAGCCTTAGCGTATTACTTATATAGAAGAGAGAGAGAGAGGGGGTGACGGTGAGAGAGAGAGAGAGAGAGAATGAGTGAAAGAGAGCAAGAGAAGAGGAATGAATCTTAAAGAGACTTGTAAATAACAAATATAGGTTCAAGAATATTGATGACAAACAAGACAAAAGCAAGATGAAGAAAGAGAGAAAGAGAGAGAGAGAGAGAGAGCAAGAGAGGGAGTGAACAGGAGTGAACAGGTAGAAGGGGAAAGGAAAGTGCACTGAAGACTTAATTTTCTAATCAGAAAAGAGAGAGAGGGAAGGCAGAGAGAAAGAGAAAGAGAGAGAACGAGGGGGGAAAGTGTAGAAGGGGAAAGGAAAGTGCACTAATGACTTTTAGAAAAGTAAGAGGGAAGACAGTGAGAGATAGAGAGAGAGAGAGAGAGAGAGAGAGGGGGGGAGTGCAGAAGTGAAAGGGTAGGAAAGGGGAAGGAAAGTGCACTGATGACTTAATTAATTTGCTAAGTAGAAAAGAGAGAGAGAGAGATAGAGAGAGCAAGAGAAGAGGAATGAACAGGTACAGGTAGAGGGGGTAAACAAAGTGCATGGATGTTAAGTGGGAGACAGGGCTGATGGTTAGATGCATGGAATAAATTAAATGATTGATTATTATTTAGCCTGAATCGGCATGACTTCATACAACGTGTAGCTGGCTGTGCCTTGGCATCCATTACAGTCTTCAGTACATTAGTCCTCACAGCTGAGTTGCTAAAGGCAGCACATTTGACATTCATGGTACAAATAGCCTGCTCTATCATTATGGACGCCCAGCTAGCTACATGTAACTCAAGTATGGACAATTTTTTTTTTTGACGTCTGTCTGACGGAGAATGTAATGTATCAATAGATGCTTCTTCTACCCATTTGCTAACCCTCCAGCTAACTCTCCTCCCTCTCTCTCTCTCTCTCTCTCTCTCTTCCCCTCTCTCTCTCTCTATGTGTATCAATTTATCTTCATATTTATATGTATTTATCAATTGATTTGTCTTTAGCCATCTGTCTATTTACCCCCCCCCCCCCCATCATACATCTCTTCCTGCCACTGGAGCTCAAGTCTACAGTACACGTACCCTCCCTTTATTCATTTCACTAAAGCTGGATCTTAATTTGTCTGCATGTACGCTGTACCCCCCCCCCCATGTCTTCCTTTTTTACTTCTTTTTGCCTAAAATTGTGTGAATGCCTGACTCTTTCCTACTCTGTGTCTTTATTTGTGGAAGTGACTAATTATTCCATCTTTATGAGCTTGTCTTGAATTAAAATTCCCCATTGCATTCTGCCCTTGTCTTCAGCTATAGCTTACCACCTATTTCTAATACATGTAGGTCTCCCTGTCTCTCTCTCTCTCTCTCTCTCTCTGTCTTTGTACCTCATTTGCCTCAGACTGTTTCTTATTACTCCCCTCTTTATAATTCTCACTTAAAAATCTGTACCTCGCCATTTTTATCATCTTTTTTCATTTCTCTATATACATGTACATGTACAGGTGTATAGCCTAACACATGAAACTATGCATTCCTTAATTCATTTTCGTCTTAATACTATTTCAATTTAACCAGAGATTCGCAAGCATACAGTGCATTTTATCTATTTTCTCAGAATTATGTGTCTCATTTATATGATTAAATATAGTTAATAAACATATTCACAGTGCATAATGCACACAAGCTGTAACTTTAAGGACGGTTTACCTACATGTATCATTGTGTGGATCATTTACTACAATTAATATCAAGAGAAGTGTATCATATGGATCCAAAATACAAGATATGTTGTACATTGATTATACACCTTCATTTGTCATTTTAAAGCTGCAAACAGTTCTACACAGGTAATGACATAGGTCTTCTATAATTTATACAGCCATCTTACCTTTCATATCATTGTAGGCTTACTGTATGATTCAATCATAACTCACACGTTATTGCATTTGCATCAAATATTTATCTACATTTGTTTTGTATCTTGACCAACACAGTATTCTCAACTGTGAGAATTACTCTGCGAGTCTAAATAGTTTAAATGTTCACTCAACAATTTAATGAACGTTACAAATGCTGGACAAAAATATCATTTTCATTCCTTTGTCTCTTGGAGTGACTTGCCCCCCCCCCCCCAAAAAAAAGCCTCAGATCTAAAAAGGTAGATGATACTTGGATGATCTGACTTTAGATTCGACCTTACATGTAAAACATTTTAGATCAGTTTCTACATAGCCATCTTGTAAATGTAGCAGTATCAGATTGAATCAATACGAGTGCAACACACGGCGCTATCTAAATTAGATGTAAAACAATTGCCAATGCGAAGTGTATGCATTGACGTCCACACATATGCATGCATGCACGATCATTGAATTCACACACACCACACAAGCACAGCTCAGCGAGGGTTTTCGCCTTCTAATGGAGCTTACCGGCACGGGGATACGACAAAATCCAGACATCGTCCGACCTGCAGGGAAATTCTAAAATATCCTGTATCTTCCCTCTGCAAAATGGCGGCAAACGAACCCCGTCGACGACATAGTAGTGCATAAAATCATCCTCCAACTCCAATTTGTTTGGAGATTCTGGGGACGATGCTTGCGCCATGTTTACATCACGGTGGAGAAATTGGTGATGAGTAGACGCATTAGCAGACGTTTCTGCAGCACCTATACTTGTGATAATCAACTAGTCGTGTTGTAATTCATATGATTCGGGTTGATTCGAAATTATCATAAGCCTGGTGTGAAGTCTACAGATGGAGACTGGAGACAGCTGGGTATCTCTTGTCTAGATAGCTTGACGAGACTTGGGACTCTACTATCGTGCCTCGATAACATTGATATACTACCCATCAAATATTGAAAAAAAGGTGTCCATTTTTGCTATGACGACATTTTTCCACCCCACCCTCCTCGTCTATTTTATTCCCAATCTCCCTTATTATCCATTCTCCCTACTATCCATAGGCTAAGTTATAACTTAAGTTATATTCTCTAGCTCTCTTCTAAAGTCTGTACCCCATATTTTCTCCCTCACTCTGTCTCTCCTGTCATTCCCTCGCCTCATCTCCTCTTCGTCTCTTCCAGCTGTGTATCCATCTCTTATTTGTTCCTGCCTTCTCCTTCCTCATCTACCGGACCCCACCCCTCCCCTCTCTCTCTCTCTCTCTCTCTCTCTCAGTCTTGTTTAGGTATACATATCATTTTAAGCAATTAAAACATTCCCAGCTATGAATTGGACATGTTTGCATTGATTTTCTAACAGACCTATCTCACATTCTTGCATCAGTTACATAATTTTGCCTGCTTAAAAAAATTATATCTTCATACCCTCATTCTGTGAATATTCAGTAGAAGAGACACAATAATACAAAAGGCAAAATCTGATTATTTTTTCTTTCTTTCTTTCCAAGAATTTCTTACGATTTTATTTCACTCATGGCAGAGCTAGAAGAAAACTGATGTTTGTACATCTGTTATTGTGATTGATCTTTGTATATACATTGCATTCAGTTTTTGTAACATGTGAAAGAAATTAAAACACTTATCTGTATATAAATTACCATTCTTTTAGGTAATAACTATAGAATATCTCTATATTCTTGTACATGTACTATATTATAGGCAAGTAAGAGATTATAATAGTAAAATACTGCAATTAGAAGAACAGGCAAACATTATATAATTAGTGTCATAACATTTTACCTTTCACTAGCACATGAATATATTAAATGTTAATATAAATAGTTATTGTCTGTGCTATGTTTTTGTAAGATACATACATAAATAAATAAATAAATAAATAGAATGTATTTGACAATATCTACATGTATAACTATCCATACATATCTTGAGTCACTACTTCAAACACACTTACCAGGAATTGCTTGTGTTATCAACAAGTAAAGATACAATATGAGATACTGTAAGCAATAGAAGTAGCCTTACATGTACAGTATACTGTAAAAGTATGTGACTAGGTATGTCATATATATTAAACATATTATATCCTCTGTGCTATGTCATATATGAATAGATGAATAAATAGAATACATCATAACATATTTACAAATATTTATTTACATTTTTGTTATACTTATACATCAAGATAATATTCCAACTATTTCACATCAGTGATATTTTCTTCTTTTTTATCTTCAATTTAGAGCCTGTACTTTTGATAATATACATATAACCTCTTTATTACAAACCAAGTACTAAAAAGTCATACACATACAGTGTATGAACACAGATATGCATATGTTAAGAAAATTACTATCACATCACATGTATTACTCATGAATTAAACTTGTTTAACCAGGCAGAAGGTGGGAAGTGAACTGAATTCAGCAGAGCAACATTGGACAAATGCCAATTCTAAAGTAAGTATAAATTAATTGACTGAGTAAATAACAAAATAAAAGTGTCTATAAGGTAATGTTTTGATACTAATAGAAAAGAACATGATGAAAACAAACAAAAACATTTTGAACTAATGGTATATTAGCTATGATAAACATTTACCGGATCCAGATGATACAGAACATTGCAGCGAGACTGGTCACTCGCACTCCATACCAACAAAGTATAACTAGTACTCTGAAGAAACTACACTGGCTTCCTGTAGATAAGCGCATCATATTCAAACTCTTATTAATTACATTTAAAGCACAACATAGTTCTTCTCCTTCATACCTGACTGATTTGCTCAAACAATACCACCCACCCCGAACCCTCCGTTCAAGCAATCAAGCATTACTTTGTGTACCAAAAACCAATACTATATTCTATGGGGGCAGATCATTTGCAGTTGCTGGACCAAACCTTTGGAACAATCTCCCCAAATTCATACGACAGGCACCCACTGCTGCAACATTCAAATCTTCACTAAAAACGCACCTCTTTGGCCTTAATTAATTAGTTTAAACTATCCTGACTTACGTTCTTTGTTTTTGACCATGTTAGCTATCTCTTTATTATGTTATTTACTATGTTAAGTTAGTCATTTTAGTAGTATAAGATTTGTATATTTCTCTGTGTTGATTCATTTTATGTGATTATAATTATGCTTGTACAGCGCAAAGAGAAACTTATGTTTATTTTGCGCTATATAAATATTGTATTATTATTATAAAAATACTATCATAGTTGAAAGCAAAGTAATGTAACATATTAAACTTAAATATCTTTAAGATAAGAGACATATTCTATAGGGCTTTTCCTAATCTGCTCCTGAGCCTTATATATATTGTCATTTAACTAATGAATTTAAATCATTTTCAAACTAAGAACTGTTGTTGGTATTAATGTTAAAGCCAACGAGAAGGTTAACTATCTCAATAAAACAGCTAACCCCCACACCACACTTCAATTGTGAATAATTTTTCAGCCTCATGTCTCAAAGGGGCTTAATGATTTGGAATCTTGCAAAAAATTGTGCAAACTACCTTCAAACAATCAATATGGAGCTAAACAGACAAACACACGTTTCCAATGCCATTTTTCCTAAATAGCTTTACATGTCACAGATACAAGTACATGTACAAATATCTTAAGATATCACAACTAAAGATATATTTCTAAAATAAATATGTTTCAAGGCCACTTCTTGAAGGAGGTTAGTAAACAAGATATTCATAACGATGACAAAATTGTTAATTTAATCAAAGAATCCATAGACGGCATCATTTTCAAACCATGAGAGATTGTTTTCTTTGGTTTCCTTGGCAGCAGGTGCATCCTTCTTCTTCTTCCTGCCTCGAGGGGAATCCCCCCATCCTTTGATCTTATAAGCTCTCTTAGGAGTCTTCCTGGCATTCTTGGTTGACTGGCTTGTCTGCTGAAACAAAATACAGAATTGAAGACAAAAAAGGTTCAAATAGAGAGCGAAACATATGTTGTTTTATGGTGCGCTGACAGATGCTCCTTCTTCCTTGAACATCTACATGGAAAATGCGCTATATAAATACATCGTTATTAATAATATTAAATTGCTCCTGGCAGTTTTCATTACAGATATAGGGATAGTGTTATTTATAGGGTTCAGGCTAGGGTTGCAATTTGGTTTCAGTTTAGATTTAGGTATACTGTTAGTTTAGTCAAGGGTTAAAGTTAAGAATTCAGTAGTTAAAGAATATTGACTACAAAATGAAACAATTTTTACCGAGCATTTCTTGAACAACCTTTATTATTTTAGCAAAGATCCAAAAATGATACTGGAAAGAAACATTGCAAGTTGATTTAATCTTATCAATTTAAAACCAGAATTTTAGTATTTCATGAACACACTTTCAAGAATGTATCAAAGATGTCCAGATTTACAAAAGTTTAACACTGCAAAATAATTGGATTACAATAGTGAATAATTAACTTTTGCAATTCAAACAAAAATTTTGCCACTAAAATATGCATTATTTTAAATTCTAATAAAAATTCACTGAACGCTAGACAATACAGATGGAGAAGTAAAATATGAAATACAAATAACAACAGAATCCAAGTCAATACTAGCCTCAGGGTTCAACTTCACTCCTATATCGCTTGTTAAAAGCCAGAAGAACATTACCTCTGAGTTGAAACCCTTATGGCTCAAAACAGACAATAATGTTTTAATGATCTTACTTTTTGTTTCTTGTCCAGCTTATCAGCTTCTACTTCAGGATAGAGTTCACTATAGAGCTGATTTTCTTTTTGTGCTGAGCTTTCATCCATCATCTGGTAAAAGGAAGGGATAAGATCATATTTCTATATCTTCAATGTAATTCTGAAAATCTTAAAAGTACTCTGATGTCTACGTTACAACCAATATATACATTAGATGTGAACCAATAATACATATCCAAAACACCTTACATGATTTGTTTGTATAATATACAAGTTGAGACCCTCTAATTTGTCAAGGAAATTTGTGTTGCTCCGAGTATTTAAAACTTTCCTCCCTTTACACGAACCTGTCAATATGTCTCTCTTGTTCTGTCTCCCCTGAATCTCTCTCTCTCTCTCTCTCTCTCTCTCTCTCTTTCTCTCTCTCTATCTATATTTCTCTTTTCTCTATTTCTCTCTCCCTTTTTTTCCTATTCTTTCTTGTATCTTTCCCTTTCTTGTTATTCTGTCTACCCTTGTTCCTCTAACAATTTTAACAATTTCTCATTTTCTCCCCCCCCCCCCCTCCCCCACATTTCCCTTCTTGACGACCTCTAGCTTTCCAAACAAAATCATTGATCACTGTTGTACATATGAGATGAGTAATGATGAATTACCATTAATGATTTATTCCATTTAATGATGTCTGTCTACCCTTGATCCTCTCACAATTTTACCATTTCTCCTTTTCTCCCCCCCCCCCCCCTTATTTCCCTTCCATCTGACGACTAAGTCACTATTAGCTTTCCAACAAAATCATCAATCACTGTTGTACCGATGAGTCATGATGGATTTATTAATTCACATCAATTACCATTAATGATTTACTCCCTGTTCCAAGATACATGAATGTCTGAATGCCATCACACTGTGACTCATAATTTCATTCATATCATCTTGTTTACATATAGTCTGCTCAGAACCAGAAGGGCATTTACTTAAAGACTGTTAAAAGAGTGTTAACTGGCTCTCAGCAAATGATACCATATACAGTCAAACCTGCTTTAGTGACCACCTGTCCACAAAGACCACATTTGTTTGTTTCCCTTGAAATTGGTTTCTCATTGAAACATATGTACTAAAGGAACCCGTCAACAAAGACCACTTTTTGTGTTCCCCTTGGGCGGTCGCTATAGACAGATTTAACTGTACATTGCATTAAATATCAATGGAAAACAACTCAATCCTTCATTGTCCGTTTAGAGCCTATAGAGGGCATTAACTCTGTGTTAAAATACATGACTGAACACCCTCTTGGCTCATAGAAGCCGATATAATAATAATAATAATATAGAATAGTTAGGAGCGCTAAAAACAATAAGTACCATAGTGGTTACACATACAAATATATGAAAAGAGGACAAAAATGTCTCACAGGAAGAAGATCACATAGATCACTGGAAAAGGGTAAGTTTTAGGGGATCTTTTGAAGGTGGCAAGATAAATAATTTCTCGTATGGTAAGAGGGATGCTCTTTCAAGTCTTTGATGCAGCTACTGCAAAATGTTTTTCAGCTGCTGAGAGCCTAGATTTGAGAATGATAGGTTTACAAGTGTCGGTAGCTAAGCAAAAATTACGAGATGGTGTATATATTTAGGAGCGCTAAAAACAATAAGTATCATAGCGCTTACAAATACAAACATATGAAAAGAGGACAACAATTTACAGTCTCACAGGAAGTAGATCACTGTGGAAAAAGAAGTTTTTAGGGATCTTTTGAAGGTGGCAAGACAGGTAATTTCACTTATGGAAAGGGGAATGCTTTTCTAAGTCGTTGATAGGGCTATTGCAAAACATTTTTCAGCTGCCGACAGTCTAGATTTGGGAATGATATGATAAAACTTTAAGGTTTTAATATTGAATCTGGGAGTTGCTTAATAATAATAATAATAAAAATAATAATAACGTTTTATTTACCCATTGTATCCACTTCAGTTATGAAACTGCTCTTCCAGCAGGTTCATTACTACCCTTCTCCAATCTAATATGCTGAGCGCCTAGCTAGAAGGCAGAAGGTCCCATTGTTATAAGTCTTTAGTATGACTCGGCCTGCGTTCGAACCCACAACCTCCCGTTCAAGAGGCAAGCGCTCTAACCACTGAGCCAACATGCTTGACATACATACCTTGACATTGGTCACTGTAAGAGATCTCTGAACCGGCCCCTGTGAAGAAGGCATCTGACTGACTTGAGGTGAGGGTCTGATACGCATTGGTGTGACAGCACGGCTAGGTACACGACGATCTGTGTTAGTATGCTTCAGTCGCTGCTCAACTTCCTCCAACTGAAAAGGAAAATGGACAAAACAGATTACATCTTCTAAAATTTCTTAAAACTAGTGGTAATTAATCATTTCTCAAGGTTGAGTACAATTCAATTTAGAGCACCCAATTATAATTACCAATTGACAATTTTTTGGAAATTATTATTTTAATGTTTCACTAATAACTTTTCTCAGTTTATCAAGAGTTTGTTGTAATATGGAGTTTTATACAACCAATACAACTGCACTTGTGCAAAGTACCATTATTATGTTTTTAAAATTTGTTGAAGGTTCCAAGAAACAGAGAATCACATCATGTCCAAAGGACTAAAAACAAATGCTCTCGATCCAAAGAATGCCCTTTAACCATCATCACCATCTAGTACTTTCACTTAGATGAATGAAGAGGGAAATAATAACCAGTTCTTATACCTCAAACTCCATAAGTTGAGATGTTGATGAATCGGATCCTCCGTCATCCTCCTCCTCCATCTGATTCTCCTGAGCGAAGGCCACGTTGCGTTTGAGACGGACTGAGTTGGTTTGCTTGAGGATGCTACGCTGGGGTGTGGTGCGGGGTGTCACTGCTTTGACTAGTGACAAATGAGATACACATGTGATTAACTCTTTATTCACCATGGGCTGACATAATAACAATGATAATGGTGGCTTCTTATATAGCGCACATGTCCATCTCGTTGTATAACCCTCCTGGCGCTCCAACATTATTACCCCGGTCATATCTGGCGGCCAAATAAGTAGCGCTCAGGCATTACAGGTTAAACCTGGATGTAGAGAAAGTGTAAAAGTGGATTAATGTCTTGCCAAAGGATGCTAGTGCCAAGGTGGGATTTTAACCCTTACCCTTGGATTGAGAGTCAAGTGAATGAATCACTATACCACGACACCTCTTGGACTGCCCCATTGGGTAAAGTATCATGTTCCACAAACATTGTTTATGTGATAAAAGTTGGCTGTGGCAGTCTAATGTTTGTTTCATTTCTTAAACAATGCAGGGAAAGATTAAAGAGATAAGCCACCTAAAAATACTGCTGCAGCAAAATTTCTGGAAAATAAAGAATAGCAAAAGGCACATTCTGAGAGCTAAAATAATAGAGTACAGAAGCTGTGACGTCACAAAAATCTATTTTTAGAATTTCTCAATTTTTTCTTTATTTTCCAAAAGAGCATAAAAAATAATGTCCAAATGTCGAAAACCAATTGAATATGTTAAGTATTGGCTGAGATATGACCATCTGAATAAATATATGTCCTATGGGAACTCAGTGTTATATGCTCTGGCTCCTAGTGGTTAGGAGCCAGAGCATATATAACACTGAGCTCCTATGGGGAGTTTATTTAATCAGATGGTCATATCTCAGACAATACTTAACATATTCAATTGGTTTTCGACATTTGGACATTATTTTTTATGCTCTTTCGGAAAATGAAGAAAAAACTGAGAAATTCTAAAATTAGATTTTTGATGACGTCACACTTCACCACTCTATGCACTCTCAGCAGTTGGTACGCATCAATAAAGGAATGAAACTCACCGGACATGGGTGTTCTCATGTTCTTAGAGGCAGTATCATCAGCAGTTTGACATCCTGTGTATGTAATGAAGAGAAAGGACAATGACATATGATGAATGCAACATTTACAGTGTGCTGAACACATGATAAGCTCAGAGTATACAAGTCTACCTTCTTACTACATGCATCTATTTTGCAAGTTGTTGTATCTTTTCTACTGAGAAAATCACACTAAATGAATTTCTTCACTCTAATATATAATACCACTCAAAATAAACACAGGTTAAGAAATATGAAGGCCTATATAGAGTAAAGTACCCGGTTTTCGGCCACTTAAGACAAAATCCTATTTATTGGACTCTTTACTTCCTATTTATTATCATTTCTTGTTCAAATCATGAAGCAAATATTATTATTATTTAAACAAAAAAAGAATCCCCCCAAAAAATCACGAATTGCCATGACAATATTCATTTCAATTTTCACTGTTTTGGAGCCGGTTATCGGCCGAGCGTTTCAGTTTACGGCCGCATGTACAAAGTCAATAGGAAGCGCTCGCGCGCGCCGTGCGTTTCTGCGCTGATGTATAGCACAAGCGGGCGGAGCAGGTATCCCACGCCGGAGCTCCCGGGTGCTCGCCTGGCCGAATACAGGCACAGCGGTGATCGGAAGTTGGAATCTGAATTAGACAGACATATCGTGTGTGCGTCGCGGTGTGCGGCTGCATTGATTTAATACATGCGATGAGATACTTTTGAGCTTGCGACCAGCACAAAATCGGGCTCTATATCTGAAAAATACTTGAAATAAAGCTCATTTTATGGTACCCATATTTCTTACATACACGCGTAAGAAACTCGATTTTTCAGATTTGGGTAGCGGGACCGCCGATTACATCGCTAAAATGTGATATTTTAGGATATATTTTTCATTGCAAATGTGGTTCTTCAGTGACACTGGCATGGTATGGTATGTGTGGGATATGTGTTATGCTATTATGCGATGTATTTTAAAGTGATTTTACCATGTATCCAACCAATTGGCCGAAAACCGGAGCTGACCGATTACCGGGTACTTTACTCTATACAGGCCTGAAGAAATATCCACAAAGCCCTCCATTATGAGTCCATTACTTTCCTTCTTTTGGAATATATTTTCTTTTTTCAGGAGACATCAGTTACTAGAAAATATTGGAAAGACTGTCTGAAATGATGAGGCAACATTCTATTCTTGCAAAGTGCATATTATAATTTTGATATAAAATGTACTTTTATTGGAATATATGATCACTTCAATACATTTCAACATCAAAGTTGCCCAATATAACTGCAAGTAAAAGGTCCTGTGACAAATAACAATTGGATTTCACTGTACTGTATTGAAATCTGCCCTTAAAAAATGTTAGGCAATAGTTATAAAGTGAATAATCTGATCATACTGTTAACAGGTGTTCTTGGTGTTTTTCTGTTATCCTGAAGCTTGTTATGGATGGTAGGAGTATGAGGAGTGCGGGGCCCAATCTTTGCAGTATTCTCCTGAGGTTTAGGACTGGGGCTTCGGCGTTTCTTCTCAGATTTAGCTGCTTTCTCAGCTTCAGCCAATTTCTCTTCAACCTGGCTTGCATCAGCTTGGAGCTTGCTTATTTCCGCATCCTGTGAATTATCAAGGAATTACCAAAAGCCATAGCTAGTAGAAAGGGATAGTTCTGACACTTGCATGCATGAGCACTGGAAGGTAAATTTTTAGAGCTCCAAATAGCTTCCTCCAACAAACAAACTTTATGGGAGGGAACTATTACAGCACTCCATAAATTTGACCTATGAAATAATATAGAGATATTGACTGCTTTGAGAGGCCTAGTTGTTGTATATGCTCAAGGGAACGTGCACACCTCCTGCCATGACCCCGAGGCGCGCCTGGCTGGATTTCTTAAGTGAGGTATATAATACTACGTATGGTAATGTTTCTCTTTCTACTCTACTAACTATTGTTAAAGCATACAAATGCTACACTTAAAGTATATTTTGATAATATATTCCATGTATAATGCAGGGTAATGGTACTAACTCTACATCTAATACAGATAACAATAAAAAGGAATATGACAGTAATGAATCTACATGTACAATTGACACAGATGACACTAAAAACAGTAATATGTTGTTGTTGTTGTTGTTTGGTATTATCGGCGTTTCATTCTTTTTTAGAATATTTACGCCTTTCATTTTATTTATTTTTTTTCTTCTATTTTTTGGTACTATTTGTAAATTCATACTCTTCTCTTTTTTTTTGGATAATATAATCTCAGATCCATCAAAATGAGTCTATATATATATAGTGCCAACAGAAATTGATATAACTGTAATATGTCCACATCTTGTATAGATAGTAAAATAAAATTGTTAGACGTTGATTTCTATTTTAAAGTTTTAAAATAAAAATAAACATTTAACAAATCAAATGTTAAGTCTACATCTCACATAGATAGTTATCATGAAAACAAATCTTTATACATATATAACTATCTACATGTAATGATAGTGAAATATTTGGTATCATTTTCTACATCTATTACTAATACTACAGACAAAATTAGACACCAAGTCATACCTTCTCCTTGAGCTGTTTCTCTAGCAATGTTATTTTCTTTTCTTTCTTATCACTGCCTTCTTCTAAAGTCTTTTTGGCAGAGTCAACGTCTTCCATCGTCTTTTTCAGGTCACTTATCTCATCCTCAAGTGTCTTCCTCTTCTTCTCCTGCAAACAATGAGATATGACAAAGAATGATTCCATGCAAAGATACAAAGCGAATGAACAAAACAATGTCCAAACACCTTGTTTTATTATTATCATCATCAATATGCAAATGAGATACAAGTATTCTTCATAATGGTTTGAGAGATGGGGAAACAACAGTTTAGAATTCAATTTTTATTTTTTTATTTTATGTTGGTGTTTGTTTGTTTCCCTGCAAACTAAAATATTAGGGAAGCTGTCATAATGACTGATTTCTGGACATTTTCATAAAGCACGAAACTATTCATAATTTAAGATTCGGTATATTTATCCTTAATACAAATTATGCTAATCATTACACGTTGACTTTATATTTTATATATATTCAGGAAATAACAATTTCTGCTCTGCTACATAATGTTTACATATTGTCAGAATGAACTTTATTTCTTAAAAAAGGGTGAGATATTGAATTTATACCTCATCTTTCTTGGTAGTGGTTTGCTCTGATAGTTTCTTCTTGAGATCATCGATGATGTTGCACTTCTCTACAACAATCTTATCATAGTCAATCTACAGAACAAAGAAAGAATGGTCAACTCAATGGAATTTTAACAAGACATTGGTTTAAGCAATCCTTCTTCCTTCCCTCTCTTTTTCTCTCCCGTCCTGAAGTTTCTGATTTTACAGTTTTCTCCTTAATTAAATGGCATGATGAATAATGAATGGGTAAATACTCATATAAACAGTACACATGTAGCGTTATACAAATATGCAAGTATGTAATAATGCTTAATGTGTTCACGGAGAAATCTATGTCATTACCTTGTAAGTATCCATAACCTGTTCAAATGTCTGCTGTTGTTCTACCTGGGCTCCCGTTGCAAGCTTCTCCTTCTTCTCTGCTTCTTCCTTCTGATCAGTAAGCTCAGCCATCTCTTTCTTCAATGCTTCCATATCGGTTTGTGCTGCTTTCAAGTCTTTCTCCAGATCAGCCATCTGATCAAAGCAAAGCAAAGTGAGAGGAACTATTTATCATGAATTTGTCTGCACATACGAAAGCCAAATATTTTCCCCTTATTTCAAGTTTTCCTATAAACCTTAACGTCTGGTAATCTGGCAAATGAATGCCAGCTTGAGACAAACAGGCTCAAAATAATTCATAACTGTTTGTCATGGAGTAGGTAGGTTTGCTTGGACCAGCAAATATTTATATACAAACTAACAAAGATTTGACATGAATCACATGTTCTGACTAGCACTAATCATACTTGTACATATGAGATAAACATAATGCAAGAAGAAAGTCTTCAGCATCCACCTGGGGAGACCAGGGGGTTGTTTCACAAAGACTAAGATCGACTTTAAGTTGGACTTAACTATGGCAGGCCGTTCATGCCACTATTTGCTCTCACTGTTACTGGCATTGGTCTCTCAAGGGAGGTACAAATCGTGGTGACAAATCTACAGAATTTACCTTTTTTGATAGTTCATTATTGAAGGAAAAATATTATCTAAAGATCTTAATTGAGAGACCAATGGTGAGAGCAACCAGTGGCATGAATGCCTGCCATAGTTACGTCCCACTTAAAGTGGATCTTATTCTTTGTGAAACAACCCCCAGATATTCTCAAGTCTTCTTCTAGCTTCTCCTTCTAGGTGTTGCAGGGTCTGGCACAGGGTTTTGAGCCAGCAACCTGGAAATTCATTGCTAGAACTTCTCTTATCTTTAAAATATATTTGTAAGAGTCGATCTTACTCCTTCTTCTTTTGATGTTTTCTGTTTGGTCATCGTGGTCAGCTTTCCTTTTAGAGTCTTGATCTCTTGATTTAAGTCTTTGATCTGCTTAGTCTTGCCTCCAGTCTGCCCATGAAGTGATTTGTTCTTATCTTCCAGGTTGCACTTCTCTGTCTTCAGTTGTTCCAGCTCTTCACTCAGCTCTTGTTTCTTCAAAATAAAACCATTAGTAAATGTCAGGTAAACAAGATAATCTAACATTTATTTGAAGAGGCTTTAAAAGGAAATCTTACAAGCTATTTGTCTATCATCAGTAGCTGAAGCTGAAGTGAATTTAATTGAATTTATGGTATTGGCTAAGGCGAGGCGTCAACAATGTCGATACCAGCAGGCTGCCGCCTCATGTATTGGCGCATCGAGGCTGCAATTACGGCCGAAGCCTGGCTGGGGCAATTATTTTTCACTTATTAGCCCAGCCGGCTTGCGCCAGGCTGGGATCTGAGGCTCGGTTTCCATTCGAAAGGCGGCAGCCGGCGCATGCTTTTGAATGCCATTTCCTACCGCCAGCGGTAGCCGGCTGAGCTAATTTAAAAAATGCAGCCAGGACGCACAAGTGCAGTTAGCTGCCGCTGGCTGGTATATTTATTTTTGACGCCTCGCCTAAGAGAGGTAAAAGAGAAATGATACCTGAAGATAATTTTAAGTTCGTACGATACAATACAATAAAGTCATTTCTATAGCACTCTTACAAATTAACTGTTGTTTCACAGCGATTTACAGGAAAGTGATAAAAGAATCTACTGTTGATCATGGTCAAAGAGGAGAGTTTTGAGACATTTAGACCATCTTTTAATTCGTCCATATAACTGGGAATTAATACATACCCTGCATAACATGTTACCAAATCTGTAAATGACAAGGCTGAAACCCATGGGGGAAAGTGTATCAAATTAAAAGTAGATTGCCTCCAGTTTGTAAAATCACTTGACAATTCTATATTCAAATGTAATGTCCCCCTTACCTGCTTCTTTTCTTCCTCTAGAAGCTTGTTGATATCTTCTGAATGCTTCTCCTGTTGGGTCTGAAGATCATCTTTAGCTTTCTCTAAGGCATCCTTGGCATTCAGGGCAGTCTGTACGTTGGTCTTCTCTACTTTCATGTCATCCTCAAGGATCTTATAGAAAGAGGTATGGCATATAGATTCCTCATTATTCTTCATAGGCCCAAACATTTGTTCTCTATATAGATTTGGTGACTTACAGGAGTAGGATTTCTGAAAGTGGAATTGATCTGGGGGAGAATGAATTACTTCATAGAATATGGAACAGAGAGTTGTGGCACTCCATGGTCACCAACATCTCAGGATATGGCACGTAGAGAAGAAGACGACTTACATCATAGCTGAAGGGGGGCTACATAATCTACAAGCATACCTTCAACCAGGCTTCCATCCACAATACTAATTCTTTTTATTTCATTCCAACTTTTAGCAACATACATGTAGGATTGCTGTATAATCATTTAGAGATTTTGATGCTAGAGTCTTCTTTTTTATTCTTTGTTATTGACTTGACTTCTATAGACAAATTATAAATAAATAATTCTCTGAAATATACAAGAATGCCATGTAATTACAATGATGCTTTGCTGTTTGCGAGTTGCTGCAGCTTTTTTTTAATTTTTTTTTAATTTAATTTATTGAAATCACTTGCATGTATGGAAAGTAAATATTGAATTAAATAAATAATCTGTGAATTGTTTTACTCTTACCTTGATTTTTGCATTGAGGTCTTCAGCTTCTTGTTTATAAACGATCAATTCTTGCTCCAGAGTTTGCTTGTCTTTTCTGGTATGCTCAATGACTTCGACCAGCTTAGCGTTCTCAGAACTACATTTAAATGGAGAGAAAGAGAAGTAGTGGTGAGAGAAAGGAGGAGGAGGAGGAGGGGAGAGATGAAGGGAGATGGATAAAATGAGAAAACAGCGAGAGTGAGAAAGTGAAAGCCAAAAAAAGAACAAAGACAAAATAATTAAGTGAATAAATAAAACCAATGAGAGAAAAAAATTGATGATTAGATAAAAAGATTTAGAGGGTCATAGGGAGACGTGAGTACAATAAATTGAGGATCTGAGTACATCACAAATGATCAAGTCATAGCTCTTTGATCTAAAATGTATGTTTAATCTAACCTCTAAACTTTATCATTCACAATTAACTCAATTAAACATTTCTGACACATGCATTGCAATCCTTCCTTATCCATCCAATATGTTTTTTCATTCTCTCTAAGCCAAAGTAAATTATTCATTGTTTTACCACATTTCAATAAAACCTAAATGGATGCAAGATCAGGGACTTGTTTCACAAAGCCTTTTTTCAATGACATATGACAAAAATCAGTGACAAATCTGCTCATAACCAATCAGAAGCAAGGATTTTACTGGCTTATAACAAAAACTGTCATTTGTCAAAGGTGACAAGTTTTGTGAAATGGGGCCCAGAACAGATCAAGAATCCCATGTCACAGCAACATACTAAGTAGCTTAAAGGTAAAGACCAGTAATGGTCATGCGATTGCATTGTGAAAGAAACGTTGTGGAATCGATCAGAAAAGGTCGATCATCTAGCATCTAGCATCTGCAAGGTTCTGGAATCATCAAAATGATAAGAAATTTGGCTCATTCTTCGTAAAGTTACAAGCACTATACACAGAAAGATGTATATGGGACTACCCTATCTCTCTCACCAGACCATGAGAGAAATAAATTTACCAAATATATGAATTAGTAGGCGGTTTCCCGGCAAATTTTTTATCATCATGTATTAGTCAAAACATATTCTTTCACATGATTGGTAATGAGAGCTTCCATTTCATTTTTTGAAATTGGGGCGTTGCCAATACTGGTCTTTACCTTTAATATGACAGAAAGGAGAAGGAGGAAGAGAGAGGGACAGACAGAGACACAGAGAGAGAGACAGAGAGAAACTTAAATGATGAATGATCAATCTTGTAATAAGTTAGGAGGATACATAATCTATCCTTTGCAGTTTGCAATCAATTTCAAGATTTGCCGTCACTTGTTTTGTAATGTTTTCTGCTATGTAACCATAACACACATTTATCCCATTCCATGAGAAAAGTTGATTATATCTTAACACATTCCAAGAAAACACAAAGCAATTTGACACAAGATAAAAATACATCTAGAATCCTTTTTCACAGAAAATGCAAATTAGCTACATATCAAAAGAAGAAAGAAATAGTGGTTAAAACTCACCTCTCTAATTGTAGATCTTTCCTCATGCTGTCTAGTTTGTCATAAGATACCTTCTCCCTCTCCAATACTTCCTTCAGTTCAGCCTTCAAGGATGTCATATCTCCCTGTATATAGATATATAGACATGAATCCAGTGTCTTAAAGGGATCCGGTAACTTTGTCTCAGATTCTACACAAAATCCTGTATTTAGCTCAGTCAGGAACCCCATGAATTTTACAAGCTGATCGCCTGTCTGATTATCAAGATATTCATGATTGGAAATCGAAACCAAATTTTGCCCTTTCCTAACGGTTTTCATAACACTACAGTCTATTGGGGAAAACGAGTATGGTAAAACTGGTCAGTCAAAGATTTTTACTTTTTTGAGGCACTTCTTGATCATTATGAAGCGCAATTTTGCTTAGGGCTTCAATATTACACCATATCACAGACACTGATAACACATAGGGCCGTGCATCTCAGATTTAACATTGTTAAACGATGCATTTGAAGATGATTTTTGACATGATTTTTAATGATTTCCTGATGAGGGATAGTCAACCTGTTCGAAACGTTAAGCCCTTGCCCTTCTACCACCCATCCTCTCCTTACTACTGGCGCTATAGTTCCTTTTAGAACTAGCTCAATAATACACCACTCCTTCTAGGACTACCACATTTTTTTTTAGGACTACACAAAAAAGATTACAGAAAAGTCCTTTTCAGGTCTCCCCAATCCTCCCCTCTCACATGGTGCAATAAGCCTACTGTATATCTACACCACCATGGAAGCCAATCCTTATAACCAGCATCTAATATGATACTAGTCTCAGATCTTACCTCTTTCTTAAGCAGTATCTTGTTCTGGTCCTCAATCTTGTTTTCAAGTTGCTTCTTTTCTTCTGTTAGGTCAGTCACCTTTTTATCCAGTTCTGCCACTGCATCCTACAATTAGGAACAAATTTGAATACACCAGTTTACAGTTGTATCAGTGCGCATGCGCAGACAGTTGACCTCGGGTCATTGGCCCCAAAATTGGGGCCAATAACCTCTGACCTCTGGTATTTATGCGTAAATTAAAATTGCGCCCATGCAAATGATGATGTGCGCGCACAACGCAGCGCGCAGGCAGTGATGTCATCATTATTTGCATGGGCGCAATCTTAATTTACGCATAAATACATGACTCCTAGGTCATTAGCTTTGTTTAAATGGCGCACACAACTGTAAACTGGTGTATTCATATCAGGAGTGAAATCTCACAATGTTGCTGAGCTCAAGTTCTCACTTGGTCTTAAAACCCCTCTTAAGTGTTGGGAGCCCCAAATTCGCCCCAAATTTGATGGCAAAATTTCACTAAAATTGTATCATAATGTGACAGCGTATGTCATTTACGACACAATTCTGCAAAGAATTCTCCCCCAAAAATGAGTTTGAAGAAAACTTTCGATAATAGAATACATAATTTAGGTTTTCTGTTGTACGCAGCAAACTTAAATTTTGTATTCTTTCATCATTATTCGACTTCAAACACATTTGTTATAAAAATCCTTACAGAAATGTGTCTTAAATGACATACTCTTTCACATTATGATACAATTTAAGTGTAATTTTTCCATCAAATTTGGGGGGCTCCCAACACTTTAGAGAGACTTTAATCACTAATCTGTACTAATCCATTATCTATTGGCAACAACTTGTCTCTGTATTAACCCAATGGGAATAAGAAAAGTCAGTAGTCAAAAGGTTAAAGAGACACATTAAGAATTAGCAATGGCATAAAGATATTCACAGTACCTCTTTGGACTTGATATCAGCTTCAAGACTATCCACTGTGTTCTTATCTTGGTCAATTTGTTTCTTGGATATCTCAGCATCTTCCTTGAGCCCCTGAAGCTCCTTTTCCAGTTCAGCCTGATAACAAAAACAAGAAAACAGAGATGAAAATTTAAAAAATAGTCATAGAATCAAACATACATATACTTGCCTGTGAATACAACAGCTGTACCTCATTGAACCTCTAGCCCACCATCATTTGAGCTTTGCAACAGTTTATCATAATTACATAGGTTTCCTTTAACCCATTGCCTTTGAGAACTGGGTGGTTCCTGCATCAAAGCCTATGGGAATGACAGAATTCAGTAGTTAATGGGTTAACATGACTCTCTTTTAATTATTTTTATCATTTATTTAATTTGATCTAGCTGAAAGTAAAAAGAACATGGTACTCAATGACTGATATAATATATGTTGTATTTACTGCCCAATACATTACATTGAGTTTCCTTTTATTCAGTTATTATTACTGCTTTCTTCTTTACTCAAAACATATACATTACAATGTATTCCGATTGGGTGATACTGATTAAAGGTAAAGATAATTCCTCAAACTGCAGGTAGTAATTATTCCTACCTGTTGAGTTTGTAGTTTGTTCTTGTGATTGGTTGTTTCCTTGAGTTCTGATTTGATCTTTGATAGAAGCTGCTGGTTAGCTTCTACCTCTTCATTGGCTTGGCTCAGAGACTCATGAAGACATTCTGTAGGAGCAGAACAAGAAGGTTAGTATTCATCAAGACAGGGGGAAACAAAGAAGAGGTTGAAAAGAAACAGAAACTGAGGAACAGACTTGATTAAAAGATGGGAAGAAAGAAGGAAAACACAGAGAAGACATTCATTGGCTTGGCTCAGAGACTCATGAAGACATTCTGTAGGAGCAGAACAAGAAGGTTAGAATGCTTCAAGACAGGGGGAAACAAAGAAGAGGTTGAAAAGAAACAGAAACTGAGGAACGAACATAGTTAAAAGATGCCCGGAAGAAAAAAGGAGAACACAGAGGAGACAGGGGCCCCAATGTCCTTTGACAATTCTCCTCTAATAAAAGAACCTTCAAGAGTGAAAGTGGTTGAAATTCTAGGGACAGAAACTTCAAAGTACAAGTGACTGCTTCTGTAAGAAACAAGTTTAACAATTACAAAAAAGAAAGAAAGAAACCATCAACTAATGGCCTGCAGATTACCGAACCATACACTGTTCAACTCTCATATTATTATTGTAATTTTTTTTTTTTAATTATTATTATTATTATTTTTTTATTTTTTTATTTTTATTTATTTTTTTATTTATTTATTTATTTTATTTTTATTTTTTTTATTTTATTTATTTATTTTTTTTTGGGGGGGGGCAGGATTAGTCGCCCATGGCACCTAGGGGCTATAACAACATAACAAACTCTATGAATGTATTAAAACTCCATTAAATCTGTTTGACGGAGGAAGAAAAATGTTTTGTGCTGACCTTTCTCTTGTTGGAGTACAGCTATCTGTCTAGAAGTCTTCTTGATATCATCTTGGAGATCAGAGATAGTCTGGTCTTTCTTCTCACAGACACTCTGTAATTCTTCACACTTCAAAACAAAACAGTTACATCTTTACTGACAAAGTGTTTGGGTCTAAACCATTCCAATTATGGATCAAATACAACTACTTTCATACCACTTACAAGCTTTAATTTTGTTATTTTCTGTATTTATTATCATTTGTTATCACTGTACATAACTGTAACTTCATATTCATTTGAGATGTTTTAATGATTTGGGAGTAAAATTGTTTTGAATTGATTTGGAACTGAACTGATCTGGATCACTTTGTCCTGGTTCAATATGTAAATCCTGGCATAACTTATCACTTTCACAGCTTGGTTCAAATGAGGCTCATATAGATATATTTATGTATAACTAAATTTATAACACCAAGAATCTTTCAATTTACGAAAAAAGGGACATGGCTGTGTAAGTATAGCAGCATATGAATATTGTTCAGAAGTGGTTGAAGATTACAATGTCAGTTGACCGTGTTCTTCTATCTTTGTCGTGTAAAGTATTGTCTTGTCCCTTTCTCGTCTCTGTTGGCATTCCCCTTTTATTTCCCCTATTTTATAGTTCCTTTTGTAGTTACATATTAGATAATTTAATTACTCATTATTCCTAAGTTTCATTTGAGGTGTCCACACTTGTACAAGCATTGCTTTTTAGTGGACCCCTCTGTTTCCAACATGTATTTCTTAAATTTGTTTTAAATGCTCATAATTGATTTGTAATGTTTTGTTGGAAACATGAATAAATTTGAATTTGAATTTGAATTTGAATTTAAGTTATTGTCCTTCTGACTCTCAACAGAGGAATTATTTCAAGATTTGTATTACCTCTTTCTCTATTCCAGATATCTTGGCTTCCATTGTATCTTCAGCTTCAGCAAGTTTTATCTTCTGTCTTTGCACTACATAGAAATAGAACACATCAAGAGCATTACTATTCTGACATCACAGGTCTTCATACTACATTTGCAAATAAAATGCTTTGAAAAACTGTTCAATTCTTCTAAAAAAAAGGGTTTAAAGTTGTTTGCTCTCTCTGGCTCACTTTGAAGTGCTGTTTTATTCAAAGTGTTTGAATCTGTCTTACAGTACTTGAAAAAGAAGTGTCATCTAAACTTTTAACCCAAGTAGAAACTCAAGAAGGTCTCAATGGTGATACAATGCAAAATAACATTTAAATAGCTTGATATCTTCACATCCCTCAATAGCATTGCACCTTAATCCTTTCATTTCAAAAGTTGTCTTTTTAAAGTTTAAACCATAAAACACAGTGTACAATGAACAATGGTTTTACTGGCATTTTCAAACACAGCTCCCTCTCTTGTTAAGTCGCGTTTGGTTGCAGAGGGACACAACTTTAGTTTCAGATACTGTGTTTTAAACAAAAATGCCTTCAACTGGGCTGTTTTTCAACAAGTCCTTAATAAAGGTAATCAACAAAACAAAAATTTGCAGGCTTTGCATACAACAGATTAGGTGGTTAAGAATAGAAATGAACATGAATATAAGTTGAGAGATAACTATTTTGCTGACAAATCATGATAAGTTTTTGCTGATTTCAACTCACATTCTGATTTCAGCTCATTGACTTGGTTGCACTGAGCCAGACTCAACTCTTGAAACTTCATTTCCAGGATCTGTGTAGAATGTAATACAACAAACAATTTGAGTTAGCGCAAGGTGGCTTTCTGGCTTTACCCAGCCTCTTACAAATACAGGGTTGAAACAGTAACGCTACTAATGGACTCTTTAGAATGAGTGAAGAAATAAGAGATTTCTATATCAGTTTATAGAACTGCAGTCATCTGATATTTGGTCTAAAAAAAATTACCCTGGGATACATTTGGTATAAAACAATTGGGTCAGGATACAAAGACATTCAACTATACTAGCCTATGGTCACCTCCTTTTTCTTTCTTTTTCCTTCTTCTTCTTCATATTCAAAAGTAGGAAACAACAGAAAACATTTTCTCCACCGCTCGGCATCATTGTAAACCAGGAGTTAACCTTACATCTTTAACCTGAATCTATCATCCATTCCCCCCCCCCCCCATTTCTCTCTCTCTCTCTCTCTTTATTTCACTCCATCAGTTTGCCTTCAAAGCTATCAGCGTTATTCTAAACTAGAAGTTAATCTTAATTTCATATCTCCAAGTTGTTTCTGTCCATTATCTTGAAGCTCCTCTCTCTCTCTCTCTCTCTCTCTCTCTCTCTCCATTTTCTACGTTTAAACCTATTAGAATGATAAATCTTACGTTCATATCTCCAAGTTGTTTCTGCGCATTGTCTTGCAGCTCCTCCTTCACTTGTTCACCCTCCATCAGCTTGCCTTCTAACTTGCCGGCGTAACCCTTCACCAAGTTACACATCTCCCTTGTTGATACGATTCTACATTCAATCAAATAAAAATGTTGTAATAACAATAAATATTGTTCATGTTGCTCTTACTCAATTGATGAGTGCATTCAAAATATAATCATCAATAAATCATCATTATACAGTGTACATAGCATTAATGTCAATGTAATACAAGTTCCATGGTTTAAATGTGGAATATTATCATTAAAACCATTTTGATTAAATAACTTGATTAATTCACAAATTCATTGAAAGACCAAAGAATTTGTTAGTCATTTGGTTTTGAGGAAGGGATGATTCAGCTCAGTATTTAGTATTAATGGAACTTTTACATCGACTTATGTATCCTAAATTTCAAAATTTCTTCTTTAATCCATTCTCTCACTAGTGTACACAAAAATTCATTTGCATTTGACTTCTTTCCTACATAATATCAATTTTACGTCAACATCTATAAAACTTGCAACAAAGTCAGAACACTTTGAAGACACACAATGATACATACTTCTGGGAGATGTCAATTCTGTTTTCTATCTCCTCCTGTAGCCTCACACTTAGGTTCTCATTTTGGAGCTGAAAGGAGGATGAAAAGGAATATCAATATGATTCAAACATACTTTGATCTTTGTAATTACATCCTTGAAGAGGCTTATCTGATTGGTATTTATTCCATTGTATCACAATCAAAAACCTGTGAGACTTACCTGTTTTACCTGTGAGACTTTTGCTTACTCATTGCCGCAGGCATCAATGGACTGAAATTTTATCGCCAGTAGATGGGGTAGTACAGCCGTCGGAGAGAATGGGAATCTACAGCGATGATAGGTGAAACTGGCCAATTTCGAGTTTATGACATGGTCACATTTTTTCTGGATATGCACCATGTCATTACATCATCATGTCAACACTACATGTTAAAACATCACTGGCCCAATTACAGGAATGCCTTGGCAAGTGCTATGACTCTATTTGTTTGTTTGTTTGTTTGATTGATTTTATTTCTGCATTAAAAAAGATACAAATTCAAATTCAAAGTACAAAAATTTGAACAATAACAAATACAATGAATAAAATTTGATTGGCAGATTGAATCCAATCTTAATGAACTTCATAATTCAAGTCAAAAATTGTTACTATCACTTTGTCTATTTGAAGACAGAAGGGCATTACTCATAACAGAATTAACTGCCTCCTGTTTGTTTTGAACAAAGTGCTGAATTCATAGATAGAATTACTCTCATTCAATTTGTACCATACTTTTTCATTCTTACCTGAAGTTCAAGGAGTGATTTTCTTTGTGATTCAATTGTCTGTTGTGCATCACTTAATCCTCTTTCCTTCTGCCTCACATCAATCTCCATCTGTACCTTCCAGCGGCGTATCTTGTCTGCTTCCTGATGCAAGCGTGAGTGCAAGGCATTCATCTTGTCCTGATTCTAACATGGTTTGACATAAAAGGCAACCAAAGAAAAAGACATGAACATGAAAATCATTAACTGTATATCGTGTATATTGTTTTGTTATTTTATATGGAAATGTGGAAAATAAATCAATTCAAAACAATTGTGGTGAAAATTCTTCTTTCCCCTTGTACACAAAGCTGTGCATTCTTTAAACCTGGAGTGTGACAAAGAGATTTAGACCAAGGTCAAGTTTACTTTCTTTTGTATGACTTTAGTTCTTGCGTTGGGTCTAACTGAATCATTAGAATACAACCAAAGTACTTTTTGGCTTTGCGGGCTGTGAGAGCTTTTGCTAAATGTAGAAAAAAAGTTAGCAGACACATGCAACCTGGACAACAAAAAAACATTGATGGGCCTTTTGCTTTAAAAATATCTCATTTAGAAATGTTTAGCTACATAGACCTTAAGTGGGTTTTACAAGATATAATGTAGAGAGTGATAAGGAAAATATCTTTTCCGACTCAGAATATTTAAAAAGGAATTAAAGTATATTATGTAGAGTTAAAGAAAAATTTGACTACAAATGTTCCCCCCCCCCCCCCCCCGCCCTAAAAAAAAAAAAAAAAAAAAAAAATAGAACTTTGTATCAACAATTCCTGAAAAAAAAATTAGAAGATATATATATATATATATATGTAAATCAAAGTCAGACCTGTATCTCCAGGGTTTCATTCTCGTGTTGGGCAAGGGAAGTCTGGAACTCTTTGGTCATTTCTGAGGTGTTTTGTAGGAACTGTTCAGACGCTTGAAGGGGCTGTGTCTGGAAGGACTGACCCTTTGTGAAGTGCATTGACCCTTCAGTACCAGCCAAGGACTGAGTAGTAGCATTGTCCTAATATTAATAAGGGCCAAAAGAGAACAAAATAATAATTTAGTGGTAGGTTTGTGAGATAGAAAACTAAGAAAAGATGACAAAAAGGACAATTATATTAGGAAAAGAAAGATAGGGAGGCAAAAAAGATACGAGTGAGACAAAGGGGCAAGACGTATGAGCTAGACAAAGAGTGAGACAAAGGGGCAAGACGTATGAGCTAGACAAAGAGTGAGACAAAAAGACAGAGAATGAAATTCAGATAACACCAATAGGATTGAAAATATTCATGAAACCGAAATTAATCAAGATGTTAATTTCAGAGGTCAATAACATGCAATGCTGTGTAAGATAGGAGCTGAAACTCTTTAGAATTTAGTTGGTAGAGAATACCTTGAAACTTGTGATCAGTGACAGGTATTATGAAACAAGGCACTGATCTCTATAAGATGTGAACTTAGCAGACTCTACTTGGGGTTTAGAGATAATTCTTCATAATTAATATCCTATGTAACACTCAATGTTCGCAGAACCATGATTAAGCTTCAACATATTTTTTTATCATCCTTTGGATGTTTGCAAATGTCTTGAGAACATTAAAGGGGGGTTGCTGGGATAGTCACATCATATATATTTCGTATTCATCAAATACACACACAGAAAATTTCATCTCCTCCTCCTCCTTTTCCAAAGGGCTATGCAGATTATCACAGAAATGAACTAAAGATTGTAAGCCATCTGAGGATTTATCGTAAAACTCCCATGTTAATTTTTTCTCTTTAGATATCCAAGCAGTAGCCTGGAAAGGGGAGACCTACTTCTATTTAATCCCACTGAATTTTACTGAAATTTAAAAAGGGTAAACATTTGAAATGAACTAACAGTGAAGAGAGAAGCTGCTGATGAAGTAGATGCTTGCTGATCTCGTTCAATGTTCATGAAGAAACTATCCTGTCTGTTCTGACTCTGACTAGTAGTAGGCATGAAGAAAGGCTGTTTATCAGCATGGTGTTCTTGCTCTTGTCTCTGCTGCTGCATCATGTTTGATGATAGTTGACCTTCTGCTCTTCAGAACAAGAGGAAGGTTTAGATGTACCCTACTGCACCTGTCCCTGTAAGCTGTAGTGTAGGTAAAATAAGTAAATATGAAATAGGTTGTACAAAAAACTTAGATTGGAATCTCTCTCTCTATTTTAGAGCTCTAGACCTAGTCTTCTAGTTCTAGACTCTTTTCTCTCTCTCTCTGCACAGTTAAAATTTTTGTGAACAAGTTTTTTAAAAGTTTAAACAACTCTTGATTAACGGGTGACCTGATCTGAAAGTTGTTTAAAATCTTAAGCATCTCGAGTTGTTTAAAGTTTAAACACGTACTTAGTTGATCAACATTTTGAACAACTTGTTTAAAATCACAATTTAAACAACTGGTGTTGTTTAAAGACGGTTGTTTAAAAAGGAGCTGTTGTTCAGTGGGGGTTGTTTACAGCAACTGGGTTGTTTAAAGAAAGTTGTTTAAAAAATAGCTGTTGTTCAATGGGGGTTATTTACACCAACTGGGTTGTTTAAAGAAAGTTGTTTAAAAAGGAGCTGTTGTTCAGTGGGGGTTGTTTACTCCAAAAGGGTTGTATAATGGGGTATAATTTGGGTTTGATACTCTGAATAAGTGCACCACTACTTCTGGGTCTCTATATTATAGGTATATGAAGACTAACAATATGGTAGGGTAATTCTGCAATTCATGAATTAGCGCCAAAACAGTGCCCATTTTGCATGAGCGCACATGCACGCACGTATAAACTGCATATCTAGGGATGCATGCAATCTCTATGGCAAGGAATTTAGCACACGATCTATAACCGAGTGCGCGATCAGTGCCGCACTGCATGACGCGACGATTTTAAGTCTACATATATTCTGACGTTTGCGTACAGATACTGAAAATTTTAACTGTGAACTTACGCTATAAGTTAAAAACTTCAAATTAGTTAATAGAAAAGTGATTTCAATGAAGCCACTGAATCCCTGCAGTCACTTAGAAGTCGGTAGCTTGGTCGGGTTGGTCGGCCATGATGTGTGTTGTGTTGTGGGTTGGAAAGTAATAACTATTAAGCTAAATAAATGTAATAGTTTAGAGACAAACAAAATGGAGCCTGCAGAAACACGTGTGGTTGCTTTGGTAGTTTAATCCAGACTCAATATCCCTGTGCTTTTACATATGTATCAATCTGTGTAGTCAACAGGAGACCCTTGCATACACTTGCATTGTGTGTATGCATCTAATATGAATAACAATGAGCTGTGCCTGAACAGCTGCACTACATTTCTAAGTGGCATGTTAATTTCAATTGCATGTTAGTTTCAAGGAACCTGTTTCTAAACATAACAATGTGAAATAAAGCTTTTAGCCAACGGGCACTTTACTGGCACGAGACACATGACGTCATATGTAAACAACACTGTCTAAAACTAAAAGCTCTCGTATAGTAAATATAGCAGTCATTAAATTTTATACAGCGAATGTTTAACAAAACTACTTTCGTTTTGAGCAACGTTGTTTACAATTTGTTCAACTGTTGTTTAAGATAGTGTACTACTGTAAGTGAACATCACTTTTTTAAACAGCATTTTTACCGTGTACTCTAGCTTTCTTTTCATCTCTCTGTCTCAGTCTCAGTCTCTGTCTCTCTCGAATTAGCTCTCTGTTCCAACTCTCAGTCTCACTCTCTACCTTTGCTCTGGTCAAGCCTGCATGGACTCTCACACTCAGTCTCTCCCTCTATTTCTAACAGTAATTTAACAAGATAGAATGAGCTAGTATTAGACCTAAGTTAGGCCTAGATCTAGTATTGTTCACAATGTTTTGCAGACACAAACACTATCAGTCTGTCACTGAACTGAGTGTGATTGTGAACAGCCACACAAAGACTTGGATCTACTTGTCATAATGTTAATGTTAGATCTAGATCTACATCTAAATGGTCCAAGAGCAAACTCCCTTTTTTTAAATAGATCTAGATCTAGATCTAGATCTAGTCAGTAGACTAAACAGGTTGAGCGGCGTCTAAAAAAAATCTTTAAATTAAAGTTGATTGATTGATTTTTATTCGACAAGCTTCCAATATACAACAATATACAATAATAACAGATCAAAAATAAGTCAGCTTGAACAGGATAACCCACGAAAGCTCGAGAGCTTATTTCCAGTGGGGTCCCTTACAGACATGTATACAATTAATAAATTAAAATAGTAATATTTACAGACAGATAAGAAAATTAAAAGAACTACTTATTAAAGATAATAATAACAACATTAAACTGATGATAGAAATGATATTAAGTACAAGAAGAAAAAGAAGAAGGAGAAGAAGAAAAAGAGGAGAAGGAAGAAGAGGAAAATAATGATGAATTTGTAGAATTTCTATAACGTACGAAAACATAAGTATATACAACATGAAAAAGTATGAACCGACAGAAGAATAACAATTTCAATCATATAACATGTCATTCACTTCTCTTCTCTGACTGTCAAGTATTAGGTATTCCTTTAATTTCCTCTTAAAATGATCATAGTTTCCTATTTCTTTTACACCATTGGGAAGGGAATTCCAATGTTTTATGGCATTGTAATAAAACGAATTTCCAATACTACCTACTCTTTCTGGTAAGTTAAAGTTGAATCGTCTATTTCTTGTATTATAATCATGTACGTCAGTAACAAGATCGAAGTTGGATCGAATATAATGATTCGCCCTAGTATGATATATTTTATGCACGTGATGCAATGCGAGTTGTTTTGATCTTTGGTCGACTTCAAGAAAACCAGCTTTAGAAAGTTCGCTATAGCCAACATGAGTTCTTGGACCAGAACAGTTGATAAATCTCACCATTTTGTTCTGTATAATCTTCAACTTCTTTTGATCTGACTTGTTTATGTTACTGTACCATGCAGGGTTAGCATAGTCAAATAAACATTGAATAAGAGCAAAACAGAGTGTACGTCTTGCTTTTAAATCCATACAACTTTGATATCTGTACAAAAATTTCAGACGAGAATTTGCTTTTTTTACAACTGATTCTACTAAAGATGAAAATGAAATTGCGCTAGCCAACTCAATGCCTAAATACTTCACAGACTCTTTTCTCTTGATTGCTTGATTATTGTGTGTCACTTTGAATTCAAATGACTTTTTAGAACTACTTTTAGAACAAAATAAAATGCTTTCTGTTTTTCCCAAGTGTAAAGAAAGCTTATTATCAGTCATCCAATCGACACACGTAGACAGCTGTTCACTGAGCTTTTCCTCAATATATTTAGGATCAGGATTTGAATAGAGTAGTACGCTGTCATCTGCGTACAATAATAGTTTGAAGTCTTTTATACAAATACACATATCATTTATATAACTTGAAAATAGAATTGGGCCTAAAATACTTCCCTGAGGAACACCGCATGTTATAGGCATTAGTTTGGAACGAATATCATGAATGGCCACTACTTGGTGCCGATTAGATAAGTAGGATCTGAACCAATCTAAACTTGCCTTATCAAAACCCATTAGTTGTAACTTCTTCAATAAGACGCAATGATTAACTGTATCAAAAGCTTTTTGCAGATCAAGGAGCACCATACCAACAAAGCGTCCTTGGGAAGTTTCTCTCCTCAAATAATCAGTCAAATGCATTAGACATGTTTCAGTCGAATAATCATGTCGAAAACCAGATTGAAATTCATAAATTATTTCATTTTCTTTGAAGTATCTTTCAATTTGAACACAGACCGATTTTTCTAGAATCTTTGATGCTACGCTTAAAACACTAATAGGTCTATAGTTGCTAACATCAGTTTTATCTTTCTTTTTATAAAGTGGAGTCACTTTTGCTATTTTCATATCTTCTGGAAAAGTACTCGTCAAGATAGATAGGTTCATTAAGTAACTTAGAGGCTTAAATAAAACCTTCGCACCATCTTTTAGAAATTTAGCTGGAATCAAGTCTAACCCAGTACTTTTTGATACATTCAACTTACGTAACTCTTTGAAAACAAATTGTTCACTGATTGGTAATAACTCGAAGCTGTTTTCACGTACACCTTTTCTTTCGTAAAAGTCACGAATACAATCATTGTCTGCGCTGAAAAAGTCTTTGGAAGGGGGGAGTTTGTCTACTAATTTGGCAGCCACATTTGTGAAATGAGAATTGAATTCATCAGCGATGGCCATCTTATCATGACATAATTCCCCATCAATTTTAATGACAGATTCTTGTTCTTTTCGCTTCTTATTTTTCAATCCTAAGCTTTTTAGATTCTGCCAAAGTTTTTTCGAATCTTGTTTATTTTCTTCTATCTTGTTTTGTAAGTAATCGAGTTTAGCCTTTTTCACCTCTCTTTGGACCATATTTCTTAATACTCTGTATCTTTTATAGAGCTTCTCATCTTTTGCTCTTTTCCTCCATTTTTTGTATACTATATTTCTCTCTTGAATTAGGGAAAGAATATCTTTAGTCACCCAAGTTTCTGATCTTTGTTTTATTCTTATCCGTTTCAGTGGCGCTATCATATTCAAATTTGAGATAAAAACATGTTGAAATATTGACCATGCCTCATTTACATCTGTACAGTCAGTTATTCGTGACCAATCAACAACAGATAGTTGAAGATTGAAAGACTCTTCTGTATATTTTTTCATGGATCTGATATCATTAGTCCTGTGATGACCTATAGCCAGTCTAACATTTTTCCGTGTACAGAAAGTAAAATAATGGTCGCTAATACCTAGATCAATGACACCACTTTGACTTATTTTATTTTCTTTGGTACAACCAACATGATCCAATAGAGAAGAACATGTAGGTGTAACGCGTGTTGCCTCTTTAATGAGTTGACTAAACCCATGAAGACTCAACAAGTCAATATATTTTTTAGCCAGTGGCGATTTGCGAAGAAGACAAATATTCATGTCTCCTAAAAGAATTATTTCGTCATCCTTCTTTAATGTATCAAGAATATTGGACAATTTCTCGATAAACAAATTGTTTTTCGGAGGTCGATACAGAACACCAACAACAATTGGTTTTGATCTTGGTATAAGCAAATTTATCCACAGGGATTCCGTA